ACTACTCCATAGAATACTATCCTGGGGCGGTAAACAAAGTGGCTGACGCCCTATCTCGAAAATCGGAGACTGAACCAGCTAGGAACTCAGAGCATGCATCTGCAATGGTCCTCACACAGATAAACCACACACAAGTTACCCACCACCTGATTGAGCAAATAAAGGCAGAAGGTCAAAAGAGTGCAGAGTTAATTCAATTGAAAGCTAAAGTGGAAAGTGGTGCTGAAGGATATGAACATTACAACCTGCGAGAAGGGCTGCTACTTTACAAAGGGAGAGTTACTATAGCCTCCAATTCAGAACTCCGCACAGTTATTTTGCATGAGATCCACTCATCCTTGATTGGGGGACATGGGGGAGTGAAGAAGACGCTCCAAAGGATACTTCTCATCTATTATTGGCCGAACCTGAAAAGGGATGTTCAAGAGTTTGTAAGAACTTGTCCCATTTGCCAGGCAACAAAATACCAACCAATGTCACCAGCAGGGTTACTACAGCCCCTAACCGTACCTCTGGCCATCTGGGAAGACTTGTCAATGGACTTCATCGTTGGACTTCCCACCTCAGAGGGCAAGACAGCCATATTGGTCGTGGTGGACCGCCTCTCCAAGTATGCCCATTTTATAGCCCTGCCCCCGAACTTCACAGCCACTAAGATAGCTTCAGTTTTTGTGGAGAATATCTGCCGTTTGCATGGGATCCCTCGTTCCATAGTGACTGATAGAGACAGTATCTTTGTGAGCAAGTTTTGGGCTGAACTAGCACGTTTGTGCGGCACCAAGCTGTGCTACAGCACCGCTAATCATCCTGAAACAGACGGTCAAACAGAAGTCACAAACAGAGGTCTTGAACAATATTTAAGGTGTTATGCTATGGAAACACCTAAGCAATGGGCGCAGTACCTGCCATGGGCAGAATTTTCCTACAATTTTGCTTATCACTCTGCTATAGGAGTTTCCCCTTTTCAAATCGTATATGGTAGAGCACCTCCCAGTATACCACCGTACGAAGGAACAACTTCCTCCATTGAGGCTGTTGATGAACTTCTGATCCGCCGAGATTCCATCATTCGACAGCTCCGGGAAACCCTGCATAGAACCAGACATCGAATGAAATTACAAGCGGATAAAAAGAGACGAGATGTGCAATTTGAAGTAGGTACCTTAGTGCTTGTAAAGCTGCAACCGTACAGGCAACGATCTGTCTGTAATCACTCCTATTCAAAGCTAAGGCGCCGCTACTATGGTCCTTTCAGCATAACGGAGCGAATTGGTCAAGTAGCTTACCGACTGGATCTACCGGCCGAATCGCGAATTCATCCGGTGTTTCATGTGTCGCTTCTTAAGCTCTACCGGCAAAATCTGTCCTTTCATTCAGCTCCGCTTCCCCCGACGAGTTGGGATAATCATCTGCTCACTAAACCGGTGGCTATACTCCGGACCCGTGTCATACAGCATGGTAGAGAAGAAAGTTTGCAACTTTTGGTACACTGGGAAGGACTGCCGTTGGAAGATGCAACTTGGGTCTCTTCCACCGAGTTCTGTTAGGCGTATCCAGGTTTTGATCTTGAGGACAAGATCGATTCTTCAAGGGCGGAGGGAAATGATAGAACACCTTCAATCACTCCCCTAAATATGGAGGATGGTGGCTTAGTTGACTTAGACCAAGAGCTGAAGAACAAGGTTGATCTGATGCAGATAGGCAAGGACAAACGTGGAACACGCATGTTGGAGAAAAGGGAGAGGAAGACACCTGTCTGGTTCAAGGATTATTTGGGCTCAACAAGTGGCTGAAGTAACAAAAGGAGGATAAAAGGGTTATTGGGCTGAGTTAGTGGCCCATTAACTATTTCCCTAGTCTATTAAAATAAAAGGGGTGGAAGATATGATAACCAAGCCCAATCGTATTTTCTTTAGGAATTTACATTCAGTTTTTACATATAATACAGTAGGGACCACAAGGGGTTTTTCATCCAAAAATCTTGTAACAAACTTCTGTTTTCTCTCTCGCTAAACCCCTGGAGTTGCCGGCGTTCTCGAATTTGCCGTGGATAATATCATATTCAGTATATTTTCTTTTCTGTAATTCTGTTGAAGATAGCTTAGTCTATCAGATTCCCTCCCTTCCCTTCTCCTCCAAACTCCCAAACAAAGCCTTAGTGTATTTTTAATATTTAGCATAATAAAGAAAGACATTTTTGGTATTCCATAAGTTAGTATCACTTATAACCATTAGGAGTAAAAAGTGGATTTTTTTTCTTATAAAACACAAATTTCCTTTAATTGAATAGTTATCTTGATGAAATCAAATTACATATGACTTTAACTTAAAAATGATTTAGAAAATTGTAAATAAAAGTTGTTGATAAAGAATGTAAACAGTTGATTAAAAGCGCAAAATAACCCACCTAAAAATGTGATTGGTCCAATAGGTATTGAATTAAATCATACACACTCGAACTTGGTTCAATAGTTAATTGGGTCTTTACTTTTGCAAGATAAAGAGTCTAGTACGGGATGGTGTTGTTTGGCCGAACCAAATATAGGGTAGTAACAAAACACTCCAACGCTTATTTGATCAATGAGTTTTAATAATGATGGATAAGATGATCATACTAGGCTTCAAACTTGTATTATATAATAAGGGAAAAATGTTTCTGCAGTTAATGCAGATAAATTATCTGCATTTATTTTCAAAACGACGCCATTTTGGTATTTAAATCTTAAAAAATTATAAATATAAAGACTATTATAACCCTGAAATAAATTAAAATTACAAAAATACCATAATTTCTGCCCCAAAACGACATCGTATTGGCTTACTGCAGATAACTTATCTGCAGTAACTGCAGAAAAAGCGAACCCATATAATAATTGGTTGTCTTACTTATGTCTTATTAGAACGACGACATTTATCCTCATTGGTGGGCGCAGAAGTGACTTTTGCAAGCTATCTCGTGTTCATGATGTCTATTTGTGGGCTATGCCTTCTATGTGTGTTTGTCCTTTAACTATTGGTTATTGGGGTCTATTGGGTTGAGTCGGTGACCGTAGAGTTCTGAGATACTGATATCATAGTTGTGTGATTGCGGGGTGACATCAACTCAGGATAAATAAGTTTCTTAGCCTATAAGTCTTAGCTGTTGGACTTCTTGGGTTATTTATGGATTGACTCTTCAAAAAATAAATATATTTAACCAGATAAAAAGGAAAATTATTATTATTATTTTTAAAAAATATAACTTTTGGTCGAAATATTAAATAGACCGTTAAGTATAAGCATAACTACTAGTTGAAATAATTAGAGCATATTACCAAAAAGTAAAATAAAATATAGAGCAATTTTACCTTGTTTAAAATTTAATAAATGGAATCGGTAACAGTATTTAATTTTATATATCAAAATAATATTTACGTATATTGCCTTTGAATGTTCTTTTCATATTTACATCTTATAGTTATGACGAAAAATAAAGAATAGGATATTGTTACTATCAAATAATGTTATTACCAATATTACTATCATATCTTAATCGCTGATTTCCGCCGATCAACCGTTATCATTTTTTGCGAATTAATAATTAATTAATGAGTTTGATTTGTGAAAATAATAATCGTTGGTCGGCATAAATAACAGTTAAGATATGATAGTAATATTGGTAGTAATATTATTTTATAGTGACAATATCTTATCAAAAAAACAAAGGTTACAAATATTTCTAAACAAACTTATGCAAGAACTTTTGTTAAATCTGAAGTACGAACAAAAGAAACGCTTAAATGCTAATTAAATTGAAAATTAAGAATCGAATGATTGTTAAACGTAAGGTGAAAGAAAATGTGTAGTATGTTTGTTAAAAGTGTAAATTTGTCATATTTACAATGGATTCAAAGTTTTTTATCAACTTCCATCTTGTTACACAGCAATGTCACTATCATATCTTAAATATTCATGGTGTTCATAGCTTGTAGAGCGTATGCTGTATTTTGTATGCACCCTTTTTTGCTTTTTGGTTATCAGTACATCTACCTACGGACACATTTACGCATTTTTTTATCATATAATCATAACTGGTTCTTAGCTCATTTCTCAACTTCAAGTATGGGCTGCTGTGTTTCATAAACATGCTCAATTATAATTTTTCTTTTTTAAATTTTATTTTTGATGTATACATTTATTTTATTTTTACATTTTCTGTTCCATAACAAAGTCACAAAAGCATGCATTTTTCTTTTTATTTATTCATTTTGGTGTAAAGATTGGATACTCAAATTAGAAAAAGAATAAATATCATTTTCGATCCTCAACAAATTTTACGATGTCCATTTTAGTCCCTAGCAAATAAAAAAATTATTCGTGATCCCTAAGAAATTCAAAGTGGATCCATTTTAATCATTTTAAAAGACTAATATGAATTTTTTTTGAATTTGTAAGGAACCACGATTTCAACTAAATAAATCCATTTTAAATTTTTTAAGAACCACGAATATTCATTTTATTTGCTAGGGGCTACAACGAGTATCGTAAAATTTAATGAGAACCAAAAAAGATATTTACTCTCGGAAAAACCTTCACACTTGATCTCCAAGTCTCCAACACACTCCTGTGACAAAGAAAAGGGCCAATAAAGTAAACTACAAGTCAAACTTGAATTTGCTTTTTCGCTTATCTGGATACAAGTGCTAGACGCATCGCATCATTTTCTGCAGTTCCATACTTCAGTATTTCCTCAACAAGAGAATATATTTTCCAGTCCGAAATGACGCATAAAATATTAAAACCTACTCATCAGAATTTTTGTACTCGATCATTTCTAGTCTAGAAATCCCTCGCAAGAAGTAATTCAAACTTAATATTTTTCGTGCAGTAGATAGATCAAATCTACACACAGCAAAACATAAACATTAGAACGGGCTCTTACAAGCATTTATCTAGCATGTGCGGAATACTCGATGCTAGGACGATTTTGATTGATACATGTTTCGAAAGACCGGTGAATATCGTGGATACACCAGAAGGGAGAGCAATAAAATATTAGCATATTCAAACACGATAGTGTGACAAAGAAAATGAGAGTTTTCAAAATAGGAAACATCACAGTAAATCCCGAAGGCCTAAATTTTTTAACCAGTGCTATATCGCACACAATCATTAGCATCCTGGATGGACATTATCCAAACCGAGGCGACAATGTTTACACCACTGAATGATCAAGCGAATTTATATTCGTAGACATCGTTGGCCAAGGGAAACAAAGGAGCAATAGCAGTTATCGTATATATTATTTGTTTTAAACATTGCTTAATGCAAATTGTAAAACGGATCACTCACCAAAAGTCTTTAGTCAAGGCAGGCTACCAATGTTGAACGAAAACATTAGAAGACAATTCAAACTGCTTCATCATCTTCAACGTATTTGACAGCTTGGTCCCAATAATGAGGAACACCAGCATCCACAAAAACTTTACGGGCAGCTGCTTCCGTGATGCAATCATGAACGCTGAACCTATTGAAGCTCGGTTTGGCAACACTTCCTTGCCACACCAGAACGCACTTATTGGCAGGCTTATCATCATCTGAATCTTCATTTTCTTCCTTCTCTTTTGAAAGGTCACTCCAATTAATACGTCTTAACATAAGTTTCCCATACCTCTTAATTGACTTGCTTCCACCTTCAACCACAACAACACTAATACCATCACAAATCACAGCACATCCAGTCAAACGGTTCTCTTGAGCATTAACATCAACTCTAAAGCGGGCCTTTGGATGCGAGAGGTCATTTATCCTGTAAAGTGAGACAAGTGTCTCCAGTGTGTTTGGGTCATCAAACAGCTTCCTCTCCTTCTTCTCCCGCAGCTCAGCAGGAGTAAGCTTGCGTGCAATATTCCTATCTATGTGAGCCTGCTCACGCTCAGCAGCTGCACTACGTATTTCCTTTTCAAGTCGGGTAGGATCTTGAGTTGCTTCAGAGCCAAGTACTTTCATTAAATTGCTAATCTTGACCTTGGACTTTGGCGGTTCTAGGACCCCCTGCCTTATCATCTCCTGCCTCTCTTTCTCCTTAGCTATACGCCTTTGTGTCCTGAGTTTCTTCTGCTCTTGCTTGGTTAGCTTGAGGGGTTGAGGTGGTGGAGGGGCAGGCTCAGCAGGTGGTTCAATCGGACGAGGATGCTCCACATAAAATGAAACTCTGTCCATTCTCAGTTTATCTTCACCTATGGTTTCGTTGGCAAGGTCACCATAACTTCCAGATTTCAGAATAAGCATGTCCCTAATAAATTCAAGCAGTTAATTGAATATTTTTCAAATTAACTAAGGGGAAAAAAATTATTTTGATCACATTTTCTTCTGCTAATTTTCAGTATTTAAGGAACAAAACGACAGTTCCACAAGACAGGCAACACTAGATACACAAATAGTCACTCGTGTCAAATTGTTCATTGTCAAGTCTGATTTCGTGGCCATTAGAAGTGTTTTTAGTCTTTAGACTCTTTCTATTCAAATACCCCTCTAGCAGTCTTTTTTCAAACTGCCGGCCTGGTCTATTCCAGTTTGTCACTTTGTCTCTTCTCCTATCATGATAATAATTATCATTGCAAACAACAGAAAGGAAAGAACACGGGTTCATGACTCATAACAACTTAATCGGGAGTATGCTAGCTAAATTTTTTTTAATTATTTAAATTTATGCCGTTCATATAGCCGTTAACACAACCCTTACACGTTCACAAACACAACACTTTTATAAAAAACCTAAAAAAAAAATTAATTATTTAAATTTATGCAGTTCATATAGCCCTTAACACAACCCTTACATGTTCACAAGCACAATACTTGTATAAAAAACCGGTAGTCAAAGTAGGCATAAACTTACCACCACTCAATTTCTGGAATTTGTTCCTTGGGTTTTTCTTTAATTCTGACACTCTCTGGTATTTCTATTAAATTTGGATTTATATCAGGAGCAGCCTTTGCCTTTGCCAGCTGTGCTTGTTTGGCCTTCTGCTCTTTTGCTTGAGCTTCTCCAAATTTACTCTGCATGAGTTAAATAATAATAGCAAAGCACACATAAGGCAATGGAAAATGATTAAGTAAGATGGTAAGTCCCTTGAGAGTGGAAGAAGGAGGAAGGACATGTAAAGATACCTTCAATTTTATTGTTTCAGCATCTTTTGACCACTTTCCTTCCTCCACAAACTGGAAATTCATCCTCTTAGGCCGCAGGAGCTTTGTTTTGTTGATACCCATCCTTTCATCAAAATGAGGATTAGATTCAGGATCGATATCCAATACAGGTTTCAGTATTTCAAATGCATCTTTCTTCTGTTTGTTAATGTTGACCTGGAATGTTCAGACACAGATTCTAGGTTAAGACAAGAATCCCAAGTAGAAAAAGATAACTGATAAAAAGAGACAATTGAGAAGACTACACACCTTTAATGTGCTAAGGTTGCTTGGCTTAGTAACATTGACAACATTCCCATATTCATCTATTTCCCGTCCATGAGCATCCAGACGAAGAACAGGGGCCTTGGTTGGTTTCTGCGGGATAGCAACATCTGCTACCATCTGGCCAGGAAACATATTTATTAGTGGAGCAAATTGTGGATCTTGACGGAATCCCATCCTGGCAGCAAGCTCCTGAGCACGCCTGACAGCTTCATAGTTGGGTAGAGTTGCAATACTAGCAGCATTAGCGCCACTAGCAGGAGGATTTGCCTGAGTAGCAGCAGCAGCAGCTGCAGGAAAAATTGACATATTTGCAACAGGCCCCAAAGAATCTGAGGTGGCAGTTTTTGATGCTACTCCAGCACTAGCAGAGGGGACTGTAGATTCATTCTTTGAATCCAAATGTGTGCTTCCTTGCAAATTTGGGGTAGAATTATTCAACTACACAACCAAAAGCACAGCACTTAATGCATTTGGAGGAACATGGATAACTATGGTAAAATAAATCAGTATCACCTGGTAGCTAATAGATAGAAATATTCAGGTGATAACAGGTACTTATGAGTAGAAATAATGCCCAACTTACCTGAGGAATTTTCTTCAGCTTCTCCGACAACTCCTTCTGCATTTGTAAAGCTTTCTTAGCCTTAGCTAAGGCGTCAATAGAGAGGCTTCCAGTTTTTCCAGCAGTTGAAGATGACCCATCTGTACTAGATTTTCCAGTAACCTCATGAGACCTGGTAATACTAACGCCCTTATTTTCATTTGTGGTAGAAATCGAAGATACCTTGATAGGAAAGGAAGGAGGAGGGGCCAAATATGTCTCGGGCTCACTTGTGGGCGCCACAGCAGGCGATCCCAAGGCAATGCCCTGAAAGAGCATAAAATTAAACACCAGTGACTGTGTGTCGCTATTCAAATATTTCACAGTGAATAACAGAAGAGAAGGAATAAGAAAACACAGAGGACTGATATAGTTGAACAGAAAACAAAACATATCTCCTGTAGACCAACCTATCAATAAACATATGAGACAGTCATTCAAATTAAACATTGATAAAAGGACTATAAGGATTCCCATATAATTTCTCAAGTAAATTAGCATTCTCATTCTAGTTCAGTACTAATTACTAATGCCTTTTAAATCAGTAAGTGAAAGTAAACAACCCTACAATTTGACGCGATACTCTAAATTAGCACTCATGTATTATCAATACTAAGGGAGTAAACATCCCTTAAATTTAATTACAACAACAAAAACGAATGATCTCGGGAAATAAAAAAATACCGGGCATCATCAAATTCTAAATACATAGTATTGAAAAGAACGATAGAAAAAAAAATAAGAAAGAAAGAAACTCACGTTTTGTACTGAAGCAGTGCCTTTGGCAGAGCCATGGGCACCATTAGTGACTTCCTCCTTAACCTTGACCTCATCAACAATGACTTGAATGCCTCGAACATCGTCGTAATCATGATCTTCTTCTTCTTCTTCCTTCTTAACTTTATCCCCAAACTTCCTCCGTTCTCTCCTCCCTTCCTTCCTATCGTCAGAAACCCTAATTTTCTTATCCTCCGACACCCTGTCCTCGCTGTGCTCCCTGTCTTTCCGCTTATGAGAATGAGAAGAGTGTCGCGGCTCCAATGAATCTTCCCTCTCTTCATCACGCTTCCTCCTACCTTTGCTACCCTCTCTATCCTCTCTTTCATAAGCCCTATCCTTATCCCTATCCCTGCTTCCTTCTCTGTCTTCCCTGTCCCTGGATTTGTGGTCGCGCTTGAGATTCCTGTCCGATCGATGATGGCGGTGGTCATCGGAATCTCGGTGGCGGTGGTCGTCGGAATCGCGATGTCGTTTGTCATCGCCGCGATGCTTGTGGTCGCGGTCGCGGTCGCGGTCGCGGTCGGAGTGGCGATCTCTGGTTCTCTTATCGGATTTGTCTCTGTCGTCCATTTTAGGGTTTGGGAGATACACTCTTTTCCTCTACCACTCCCTTCCCTTCCCTCTCTCTCTTCTTTTTGTAAATCGGGGATGAGTTAGTGCTTAGCTCAACATAAATCTTATAACTTCAAATATCAAATTTTATCCAAAATTATAAAATTCCAACATTTTCTATTTCTTTTTAAGACTTTTTTAACCTTGCTTCTCACGAGATTATTCGAATTTTATTAAATTTTTATCAAATTTTTAAATTCTGAACCTTTAAAATATTTTGTAAGTCAATTAAGTCTTAATTTTTTATTATTTAAATAGAAATTGAATTTTCAAAGTTTTATGTAATGATAAGTAATAATTAAAAAACTCAATTCGAACAAGAATTATTAAAGGACTACAACTGCGTATTAATCATGATAAAAAATTAAAAACATAAAATAGACCCACTAAGCCAAAAATATTAATATTAACTTACATACAATACGGGCCAAAGGATATTTAAATCTCAACATTCCTTAAAATAAATTAAATTATTATTAAGAAACAAATAACTTTAATTCTCCAGCAGATAATAAATTTGTTAACAATGTATTTATTCGATTATTTTCGAGAGCTTTTCTCCAGACTTTGAACCGATTTCCTAATAATATTTTATTTTCTAGTTAGAAGAATCAAAAAGAACGTTCACTGATTCACCGGTTCAAATCATTATTCTTATTATTATATGTGAACCAATTTAAATTACTTTTAATTGAAAAATAAGAGTGTGTACGTTAATTTAAAACAATAAACAAAAGGGTTATATTTTTCTAAATTTACAGAGTTATTGATTTTAAATTATGTATTATGGGTATTACATAGTTATAACATAAAAAATTATTTTTTTATTATTTTTCACATCAACTAATGTGATTGAGAAAAGAGAAAAAAAAAATTATATTATAATTATGGGTTTGGTGTTTGTCATTTTAAATGACAAGTTATGTCTTTTTAAAGAGAGATAGACACAGAAAAATGGAAATCATGAAAGAGAGAAAGTATGTGATTTTTTTTTAATTTAAAATTTAAAAAAATTTGTTTTTTTGTGTCTATCTCTCTTAAAATGACAGAGTGTTCTGTCATTTAAAATGACAAATATTTTTTCCTATAATTATATACTACTTATAATACATAGTTAAAATATTGATGAATTTTAAAACTTTTTTCCATAAGCAGGATATATGTTAAATAGAGTAAATTAGTCAGTTGGTCCTTAACAAAACTATTTTTTTCCCTTTTGGGTCCTTAACAAAAAACACGATCCCCACTTTAGTCCTTTACAAAAAAAAAATTAGTCAGTTGGTCCCTAACAAATTCAAAGTGGACACATTTTAGTCTTTTTAAGAGACTAATATGAGTCTTTTTTGAATTTGTGAGGGACCACAATTTCAACTAGATGGGTCCACTTTGAATTTGTTAGGGACCACAATTTCAACTAAATGGTCCCTAACAGCCTTTTATGTAAAGCAGACAAAAAAAAAATACACATTAACCCAATCCCAAAGAATCTAAGGTGCTGTTTGGTTGGAGTTTTCTGAAAATTTGCCTATGCAAATGGAAGTGGGTATCATTGAAAGCCTTGTTTGGTTGGCTGATTTTTAAAATTTCTCTACCTATATCACTTGCCTAGCAAAGCATGTTTGGTCTTAGAAATCTATCATTTTTCACTGTTAAGAAAGACATATTCAACATGGTTTTTTGTTACTTAGCTAGGCAAATGAAAAAGTGAATCATGACCCAGACCAAAATACCCTTGTGAAGAACAAAGTTGATGAGTCAAGCAACAAGTCATGGGGTTGCCAACTTTCCTCCACAGGCTTAACCAGTGGAAGGACCAGCTCTTCAGTGACTTGAAATTTTCTATCATGATAGGAACCACTTGGGCTCCATGCAAGTGCTACACGTTGGGTACACATTGATATCATCGTTGTTTGCAAGCTCCACATTGATCCGTTGGGTACTCATTTTTTATTTCCCCAAAAAATTTTAAAAATAGGGATATTTTCGTAATTGTCACTTATTTCCCCATCTATATTTTACTTCAAACCAAACATAGACTTTATAAATCTTACCTAATTTATCCGGTAAAATTTTTTCCAACCAAATAACTTTTTTTACATTTTCCTACCAAACTCACTTTTCCACCATGTCCCTATCAATTACATTTCTCTAGTATTTCAAAAATTTCTCCTCAACCAAACACCCCTAAGGAGCCCAAACAGCCATGCGTGATGCAAGACCCAAGCCGCCACCGAACCTTAACTCCATTAGGCCGAACTGGTACATATTTAGAGTAAAAAAAATTTTGGATCCTTAATAAAAAATATGATGTCCATTTTTGTCCTTCACAAAAAAAATACTCATATTAGTCATTTTTTAAGGACTAAATTGAGTCTTCGTTGAATTTATGAAGAATCACATTTTCAAAAAATTAGAATTATAGAAGGACCAAAAATTGACTTTTTTTTATAAGTGACAAAAGTGAGGATCGTATTTTTTGTTAGGGACCCAAAAAGAAGCTTTACTCGCATATTTATTCCTTTATTACATGGAATGAATCAGTTGAAGGTCTCAGTCCGTTTGAACATAACATAAACCCAAACTCTAAAACAAGCTCACGACAAAAATGAAATATTATTCATGAGTGTAATCCAGTTAGGTGAAGAGAAAATTTGATTTTGACAGCTATTAAATATATCTTTGAGAAAGGATGAAGAGTTTTAATAGTGACTAAACTCGACTTACGAGTAGTCATATAATCGATTTAAATAGTTAAAGTTTGTGAAGATATATAAACGCGGACTCGCCTCAAAAAATATTGGTGGTATATAAAAATGTCCCCACTTGAGGTTAAATTTTTTAAAATATTAAATCATTTTATCAACATTATTGATGATAATAAATTGTGTTATAAATAAAATGACTACTGGATGTCCATAATCTCAAAATAATATGATTGTTGATATGACTGTTGAATATTTAATCCCAAATTATAACCATTGAAGATGTAAATAGAAAAATAATTGGCCAAAAATATAAAGACGAAATTTAAATATAAAGTTTTTGAATATATAATCCAAACACATGAAGGTGTAAATCCAGTGGCGTATATATGTGCAAAAATGTAATTGCAAAAATATAATGAGAAAAAATAAGTCTAAGATATAAAGCATGACTTATAGCACAATAATTTCCGCCAAAGCCTGGCATTTATTATATGAAATATATTCTTTTGTGGTGGATGGATAACCTACAAATATTTTATATGTCTGGCAGTACATGAAAAATTGACATGCGTCTAATGGATATTATTATAGCCTATTTATATGACTTATTCGATTGATAGTGAAATTTATATGAAAATCTCAGAAGTATTCAAAATGTTTTTCTCGGGAAAATTTATTGAAAAAACATCAAATATCATTAAATGATTTAAAGAAATAAAGACGTATGTGGTATAATCATCTTAATAGAATATTTATCTATCAATTTACTTATTAGAGAAGATTTTAAATATATTTTACATGGATAAAGAACATCCATTGAGTATCCCAATGGTTGTGAACTCAATTGATATAAATAAAATATTCATTTAAACACCATGAAAAGTAATCAAAAAAATTCTTGGTGTTATACAATCGAGACAATATTATTAGCGTATAATAAAGGTTGAATATCCATGGGATAATTATAAAATTATTAAAGTGGATGTTTGACTTTTGAACCTTATATCTTCCCCCTTATTCTTCCATTTTGTCTCAATTATTTGTAAATCTATTAACATTATTTAAATATTTTTTATGGAAAGATACTAGAATAATGCATGATATTTACCTGATCCACACAAAGTTAGATCCTAAACAGGATATTTATTCGCAAGTGGAAGCACAACTATTTCTTAACGTTCAACAAAGTAAACTATAGCAACCACTTATTAAAATCATGTAGAGATATAATAACAATTCATGGAGCAAGTTGAAAATGTGTTTGGTTACGGTCAATAACACAACACATTCGAAAAGCACCCGGTCTTTGGTTAGAAAAAGAGGTTACAACAATATTGCATGAATATAATATTGCTTGTATAGCTTAATTAAAGGGAGGATACATGAAAGGAGATAAAACAAAACATATTTTGTCAAAATTGTTCTTCACTCAACAAAATGGCAAGATTGATGTTCAACAAATTCGTTCAAGTGATAATTTAGCAGGGCATTACCTACTTCAAGTTTTGAGAAGCTTGTATAAAAAATTGGGATATGTAAACTTAAAGATTTTAAATAATGTCATCATCAAAGTGGTGAAGTACATGTTGTACTTTTTTGTTCCTTCACCATAATTTTATCCCATTGAATTTTTTTGATAAAATTTGTAATAAGGAAGCTTCTAATACGTATTTCTTTATAATATGATTTTTTAGGTCTCTAACTAATTACGTTATTGGACATCTAAGGAGAGTGTTATAAATAAAATGACTGTTGGATGTCTATTACCCCAAAATAATATGATTGTTGAATATGATCTTTAGATATTTAATCCTGAATTGTAACCACTAAAAAAGTGCAATCCAGTTATTTATCCTATTGTAACATATCTTATTTTGTGAGCCTATAAATAGAGACATGTACACAGCTTCAAGATACATCATACTGCAAGAATAATATATTACCCTGGCTCTCTGAAAAAAAATATTTTTCTTCTAATTATCTTTTATTTCACAACATATTGAAATTAAACTTATAAAAAATTGAGTTTGGTATGAAAAAATGACACAAAAAGACAAGAGAAATCAGGTGTATAAAAACAAGGGTTTAGTGTGTGTTATTTTTCTTTGTCATCAGCGATGTGACTGATGTCAAAGAAAAGAGAGAGCAATTTTTTAGATTTACACAAAATATAACTGGTCATACTTTATATAAATCATTTAAAATGACACAGTGTCCTTTTAAATTATAGTTTTTTTTCCTAAAAACAATTGTCTGAAATTAATAAATCAGAAAATAGAAGTTTCTCGGTAGTGAGGTATTGCTTGATTAACGAGTAGAAAAATAAGATTGAGGTATCTGATGGCGTGACGGGCCAATAATATAACCCCACGTTTCCTCCCTTGACCGAAAAATCAAACGAGCGTCTGGATTTATCAAAATCACCCTTCATATCTACCACGAAGGAAGAACTCACCTACCCAAAAGCGTGAACCTTTCAAAGAGAAGAAAGCTGTGGCTGCTATCGAATATCTCTGAAACTTTCCCAATCTCTTCGATTCTTCTTGTAGGTAACATCCCTCATCTTTGCTTCTTTATTTTCTACAAAAGAAAGGAGAAACTTTTGTTTTTTATTTCGGGAAAATAACTGAAATCAAGGTTTTTATTTTTCTTCTATTTTTTTCTGTGCGCTAATCTGATAATCGATGATTTTCTTCGGTTGGATTGGTTTCTAGTTCGACGATCGAGAAGTATTTGATAAGGTTTAGATGGTTTGACTTTCTTTTAGGGTAATTTTTGTTAATTAAGTTTGAGTCTTGCGTAGTTGATGATTCCTGTTTGAATTTGGATGCTGCTGTTTGAAATTTTATAGTTTTTGGATTTAGATATGGACAGGAATAACATTGAAGGTTGGAAGGATGAAAATTTTGATGGATCTTGGGATTTACTTTTCCTCTTTTTTTTATTTAAGGTGGATTTTGGTCCCTAATAGTTGTCCCTCGTTTGGGTTTTTGTCCCAATTTTTTTTTTCTGGGGTTCAAACTTTGCCATGATTTACTAATTACTATCTATTCGATGGTTATTTTAGATATATTGGTTTAAATGATCCCATACCTTTTCCGGCTCGAATACTGAAAACGGAACTAATGTTTATCATAATACTTAAAGAATCAGATGGGGTTAGAGAAGAAGTGGTTTGAGGATGGCTAAAGGAGTGGCAATTACATGACGCCACCTTTGGTAGTATTGTCAGAATTTCATATCTAATTAATATGGTTAATTCTAATAAAAAATAATCTAGTCAAAAGGCATAGGTATAGTTTGAAATATCAGTGCACAAATAACACTTAATATTGTTATGTGTACCGATTTTTTGATAGATATGTACTGTTTGTGTGCACAAATATTATCTCTTTTCCTTGCCCCCTTCACTTCAATGTCATAATTTCAACATATCTTACTTTCTAATTTTTGTTGTTGTAGTAAAACATCTAAATGGGCCGTCCTCAGAATCCACATCCACCCCGATCATTCTTCCCTTTTGGAAATCCTTTTCGGATGAAATCACCTAAAGGCTCTCACATGTCTCCGCAACTTCTTGTAGTATTACAAGCTTTTGAGGCAACATTAGCGGAGAGGCTGAGAAAGCTTATGCCAAAAAGCAAGGATGAAATCCTCAGCTTGTCTTGGATGACTTTAGCTATGAAGTCACTTTGTGAAACTCATAATGAGATAGGAACCCTTATAACAGACCTTGAACTTCCGGTGAGTGAGTGGGATGACAAATGGATTGATGTGTACTTGGACATAAGTGTGAAATTGCTAGATATTTGCAATGCGTTTAGCTCTGAGTTCTCACGTCTGAATCAAGGTAATCTTCCTCTCAAGTGTGCACTGCCCAATTTAGACTCTGCTTCTTCAAAGCTGTCTATTCGGGCCTGTTCTTTCCTCGATGAATGGACTCAACATGTTCATTCTAGGAACCCTAGAATTGAGAAATGTAGCACCATTTTAGATAATCTTGTTGGATCACTTGATCTTCCTAAGGTTAAAAATTCTGCCAAAGGTAAGGTTTTGATGCAAGCTTTGTATGGAGTTAAGGTCGAGACTGTATTTGTTTGCAGTGTGTTTGCTGCTGCATTCTCTGGCTCTTCAAAGAAGTTGTTAGATTTGAATGTGGATGACATGTATTCTTGGGCTCCAGCTTATAGAAGTTTGCAGAATCTTGTAAATGAGGAGGTTAGAGTTAGATTTTCCAGTGGGAAATTTACTGTATTAAATGAGTTGGAAGCGGTGGATGCCTTTGTGAAGGAATTATATCCTACTATCCAGGGTGGTGTCGATACAGTTGACACAGAATTGCTACGGAAGACTGTTGAGGAATTAGGCAGGGCTGCAGAGAAGCTTTCCCAAGGATTAGATGATCTTGCAAAGGGAGTGGATGGCTTTTTTCAAGCAGTTTTGACAAGTCGTGATGCTTTGCTATCCTCTGTGAGGTTTAACATAACTGTAAATGATGGTGTCCCTGGTTTTCATATAGATCAGAAAGTAGTCCACTGAATATGCATTAGCCTAACTCTTGTAGATAATGATAGGTTGTGGGGTTTTTCTGTGCTAGTATTGATAGTATTCGGTCTTTTATTTGGCTTGTTATTTCAAGGTATCATGAGTTATAGGTTATCCGACAGTATTGTTCGTGCTGAAATGTATATGTGTGAGTGGGATGTTCTGTGTAATGTTAAACAACAAAATTATATAAAAACTTCTATTGCGCCTGCGGAAGTTTGTTTACAAGCAACTTGTAATGCTCACGTATGACCTTTTATCAGAATACGAATATGTATTGTACGGTAATATACGTCTCTTTAAAATGGTATTTAGCTATAGGATCTTATGTATCGCTGATTGTACGGTAGTACACTTGGTGCACATGCCATACCTCCCAAGTTCATGTCATCAGAAGATGTAGCTGTTGGCTGACTCAGGGAAGAATCTTTTCGTTGGGAACAAGATCTGCTTCTGCTGTCTTGGTTGTTGTCATAGGTTACCCAAGCTGTTCTTCAAGAATAAGTAAACGATGGCCTATGCTTCTTTGACAGTTTTCCACTGCATCATACTGCAAATGAAAAAAAATAATCTAGTTTCTTATAAGCTTATTTGCTTTATTACTTAGAGACAGTATTCATAACTTTGGTTGACCTTGATCTTGCTAATTTATTGGGTTACACATACACCAGTCATCTATATATGCATATTGATTGTAAAGAGAAAAATCATGTTATAGGAGCATGTGCGGGTGGCGACCCAAATCAACGAGCTGCAAAACCACCACTGAGTCATCTTCTATAACCAGAAAATATTTTAGATATTGCGTGAGGTATCTCATTATCAAATATGAAAAATAAGAATAATATATTTATATTATTTTTATCTTTATAATTATTTTTTCATATTTATTTTACTTTTTAATAAGGAGTATCTACTTTTTTTTTTTTTTTTTTTGGAGGAGTATCTACTCTTATTCCACCGAAAATGTGCTCCATAACCATAATGATTTAGGACGTTAATCTTTTCGAAGGCCCAACTCGGTTAGGACCTAATTAGCCCTAAAACTTACCTTTTTCTTAACAATTTGAAACCAGTCTTATCAATAAGGCCCGAATTCTGGCTTTTTGACCCTTATGCCCCTTAATTAATAATTAATTACCAAATTGCCCCTCATTCAAAACTATTTCGAAAATTTACCCTCCCCAACAAACATAACACCAATCTGCCCCTGTTTGACCGTTGACCACGAAGCCTACCCGGGTACACCATTACCTACCCGGGTAAATTTTGAAACTTTTTATCTACCCGAGTATGTATGGGTGTACCCGGGTAGAGTTCTTGAATCTGGGAAAATGTTTGAATTATTTACCCGGGTACGGAGCAGTATACCCGGGTAAATCGCGTCCAGAAACCCCAAGATGTATGGGTTTCGGCCATTGTTGCGAGGTATAGGGTTTTTGAAACCCCAAATCTTTCTCTCTTACCCTCTCTAATCCGAAACATCACACATATTTTATCTCATCATTTCAGAAAGCTGAATCTTGGTGGGACATTGAGATTACATCTCCACACTCCCATTTTGTGCTAAAAAATCCGAACCAACCTCCAAACCCAAAACCTAGATCTAATTTTTGTGTGAAAGATGAGTTCAAGTCCAAACATGGTTCCTATAGTTGTTTACTACAATGGGAGGCATTTTGAAGGTCCGAACGGTGTCCGATTTGAAGGAAAAACAAAAACGATGAAAATCAAAGTGGGCACTACATGCAATGAACTGAAGGAGAGAATTCTTCAAAAAATGGGGTCAGAAGGCATACATTCCATCCACCGCATGATAGCCAGGTTAGAGACTGTAGTGGATATGGATACAATATACTACATTGGAAACGATATAAATGATGATGAAGATGTGGAGTTCGTAACAGATGCGTTTGTTGAATGGAAAGTATTAAAATATATTGAGATATATGTTGAAGTTGATGTTGGACAATCTTCATCTTTACCGGTGCATACAACCACTACTGCACACTGTACCGGTCAAGAAGATACAGTTGTACGATCTTCTGCACCTCCTCAGGTAGCATGGGATGAGGATGAAGAGGATGAAGACGAGGACTATGTGGACAGCGAAGATGAGGGAGAACCTGAAAGTGCTATTCCAGAAGGTGATTCGTCAGACACTGACGTGGACGGTAATTTTGAGGCTGACATGAGCGCCGTAAGTCTCGGTACCCCAGCCTTGTCACCACTTCATGTCGACCCAGTCAGTAGTGGTAAGTTATTAAATTTGAATATTTGCTTTAGACAATTTATTATTTGTGGTAAGTTATTAAATTTGACATGATCTTTAGATGCAGGGTCTGAGGAGCCATTCTGGAATGAAAGCCAACATTATTCATTCATTAACTGGGCGCACCCTAATGACGAGTTGGAGATCCTATATGGCGATGATGACTTGCACGGAGGTTGGAAGTTAGGAGATCCGTTATTTGTGCAACAAGAATTTGGGTCCAAACCAGAATTGCAACATGCTGTGAAGATACATTGTATGAAGGGGCGCAGGACAGCCATAGTTGAAAAAAGCGACGAGTCAAGATTTGTTATGAAGTGTAAAAACCATGGTGACGGTTGTCCCTGGTATATGAGGGCAATTAAGCCGAAGAAGGGAGCTAACTGGGTGGTCCGTAAATGGGGTCAAGGTCACACATGCCTAAATCAAGGCCTAGCACAGGATCATAGACAGTTGGATTCAAATGTCATTTGTGCGGCTATAATGAGTATGTATTCTACTGTTTATTTAATGATTCAGATTAATTGAGAATATGGTAAAGTTACTTTTTTTTTCCAGATATGTTAAAGGAAGATCCATCCACAAGACCAGCTCTGATACAAGAGAGGATACAGGGAACATATGGATACAACATAACGTACAGGAAGGCCTGGAAGGCAAAAATGAAGGCCATCGTTAAGTTGTTTGGTGACTGGGAGAAATCGTACGCATTCTTGCCAAATTGGCTGAAGTATATGACGGAGGTGAATGTGGGTTCTGTGTTCAAACTTGATACAAATCAATGTTTTGATGAACGTCGGGTTTATACAGACAGGGCCGTATTTCAAAGGGTTTTTTGGACATTTCACCAATGCATTGAAGCATTCAAACACTGCAAGCCTATAATTCAAATTGACGGCACTCATCTGTATGGGAAGTACAAAGGTACTCTATTGATTGCAACATCTCAGGATGGAGATGGATTTCTGCTCCCTATTGCCTTTGCTGTTGTTCCTCCAGGTGAGTAAATAATTTTGCTTTGGGGTATGTGAAAGCATGTGACCCTTCTTTGCCACTTCATACTGTAAATAATTTCTGAGCTCATCCCTATTGACTTTGTTGTTGTTCCTCCAGGTGAGAGGTTGGATGATTGGTCCTGGTTTCTTAGCCTTTTACGTTTTCATGTCACACATAGGCATGGTATTTGTCTAATATCCGATCGTCATCGAAGCATCATAAGGGCGGTGAAAGACCACGGAGGGTGGCAGCCTCCATATGCTTATCATGTATTTTGTCTACGTCACATCGGAAGCAACTTCAATACCCGTTTTAGGAATGTGGAATTGAAGAAAACGTTGATGAAATTAGGTAATGTACGGTATAATTACTCACATTTTCAACCATTTGAAGAAAACGTTGATGAAATTCACTAACCAATGCATATGTCATGGTTTTTTTGCAGGGTACACATGTTCAAAGATAAATTTCGACATTAGGTACAAGGAATTTATCGAGAACAATCCTGAAGTTGCTTCATGGTTGGATGCGATTCCGAAAGAGCAATGGTGCAGGTCGTATGATGAGTATGGACGTAGGTTTGGTCATATGACAACTAACCTATCTGAGTGTGTGAATAAGGTGCTTCGTGGAGCACGAAATCTGCCTATATCTGCATTGGTCAAGATGACATTCAGTAGACTCGTTGAGTATTTCGTCAAGAGACGTGAAGGGATTGAAAAAGATATCTCACAAGGTTATGCCTGAAATCGCTCAAGATGACACTCCTCCAGCAGCTCTACTCGGGTACCCCTTTTGTGGGTTTTCGAAATGGGGCTGCTGGGGTATTTTAAAACCCTACCGTCGATGTTTACCCGGGTACACTGCTCCGTACCCGGGTAAATAATTCAAACATTTTCCCAGATTCAAGAACTCTACCCGGGTACACCCCTACATACTCGGGTAGATAAAAAGTTTCAAAATTTACCCGGGTAGGTAATGGTGTACCCGGGTAGGCTTCGTGGTCAACGGTCAAACAAGGGCAGATTGGTGTTATGTTTGTTGGGAAGGGTAAATTTTCGAAATAGTTTTGAATGAGGGGCAATTTGGTAATTAATTATTAATTAAGGGGCATAAGGGTCAAAAAGCCCCCGAATTCTCGTTACATCGTCACTATCATTTATCCGTTTTTCTCAATTAGGAATCCCGGCTCAGATCGCATAATAACCTTGCGTAGCACCAAATCGTAGGCAACTCACTTATTTATCATTTCCATCGTTGTTATCACCTTTTACTTATTACTCAAAACAATTACTTTTTACTTTTTATTTATCGTTGTTAAAACTTAAAAGGACTTCTTATTGCCAACTTTATTTAACCAATCAGTCTCACAAAAAAATACTTATGAAAACACTGATTTAAAACGCGTAAATTAAATATTATATAATTAACTGATCTTACCCTTGCAAAAAAAAAAAAAGTATTAGTAATGGGAATTATTTAAAAATATCTTTTATAAAAAAATGTCAATCTAAGAAAGGATTGGGATTATAACGTACATTAATAGGCTAACCCAATCTATGCAGCATTGATACTGACACGTGATACGACACGACACTCTGACACGTTAATTCTAAAAAATGTTAGATTTCAACACGTTATGACACGTTTTGATATTAAATAATATTTTTAATTTATGTAGTGTATATATATTTAATATTCAATAATTTAACAAAAAAATAAAACTAAACATATATTATTTATCAATTTTGCAAAGAAACATAAGATATCCCAAATATTTATATTAAACTCAATAAAATAGTAATCGTAATCCAACGAATCGAATAGTTGAAACTAAAAACTCAACGTAATGCAACCTTTAAAACTTTTTTGAATTTCTATAATGCGTGTTGGAGTGTCGGGGAGTGTCGGACACGACACGTCAGAGTTTTTGAAGTGTCGGTGTTTCGTAGAACCCAATAATCATAATTGGTCCCAACAAACTTGAGAAAGTTTTTGAAAGAAAAAACGCTTTGATCTTTGTCTTCGTGTGCGGTGGCAAATTGGCAATCGCTGTTTTCGTGAGCGGTAAATATATGACTAATATCCTTGTATGCTCATCATGGCCGTCCAGTTTGACTCTGAAATGTTTATTGGCAAACAAAACCTTAGAAATATATTATAATGTTTTGAATGCGATGTTCAATTTATTTTTGGTATAAAAAAGTTTAAACCAATATTACCCCACTTAAAAGTCAGGCATGTTGCAAGGTACTAGAGACTTATTAAGTCCTGTTTTGATTTGAACTATTTGATTCTTATTTCAGACTTAAATACGAACGATCATAATGGTCTTAATTTCATTATTTTTTTTCTCTGTGAAAAAAAATTGTGTTGCATTTTTTTTATTTTACTATTTATTTCCCTTGGAAAACATTTTCAAGCGGGTCTGGTTTTTTCATGTTGAGGACTAAGTAACTCGATTCAAAAAGATACCTAGTAGTCCGAATCTAACCCAAATGATCCATTTGACACATTCAGACAGAGCTGACAAAGATAAGAAGATAACTAGTCTATTCGATCTCCCAAAAAAAAGGATAACTAGTCCTTCAAGCCACTATATAATAAGCTTCAAAGGTTTGTTGTCATGAGAAAACTAAATACGTGTGAGGATAAAAACACAGCATGAGCCAAATACATAAGACAGTGACAGTTAACCAGATGGCCAAACACCATTTGAAAGATCGACTGTAGCATTATACCGGATAACTTAAAAAACAACATAAGCTCATAGTCAATGAGAACAATATGAATGAAAGAAGGCATGCACATGGACAATATGAATGAATAGAGGGCATCATGCACATGCTGATGCCCAATTTCTGTTTTGACTTTGATTGGTATACGCATGCAGTTTATGCGTTGGTAAGAGTTAGCTTGCAAGTTGGTAAATAAGGGATGGTAGCCCATCCGAAATAACTACCATGTTTCAGCTTTTTCTTCAAAACTCAAAAAAAGGTAATCAATGCTTTCTCCATTATGCTACTCTTGCCTTTTCAATTTCCTTTCTAGGAAGGTGCCAATGGTTGTCAATGGGAACTCTTTAAATACTCACATGCACAATCCCTTTTTGCTTTCCCTTCTATACCAAATAATGTAACACTAAATTTTGCAAAAAAGTTTTTAGATAGACGTAAGCAACCACGCATAGTCTATTTAGCGATTTTTTTTATTTTTTTTTTGTATATATAAAATATTAATGTTCTAAGTGTGAACCTTTATGCTTGACTTTGTTTTATATAAACAGAACAGATATACCACATTCCTACATGCCCAAAACATGAATTTCAGAAAGAGAGATGAAATTTATACAATTTTTTTTGTATTATTTATTTAGATCACTTTTTTTTAGATAAAAAACAAAATATATATTCTAAATAGTAATATTCTCTGTCAAATCATTCTTTTCAAATAAGTAAACTTTAGAAATGACCAGAATTCTTGACGTGTACACATCAATTTTGTTTCGAAAATAGGTTGAAAATAACAATAATAATTCGATAGTGGTTGGTCTAATGGCGATTCAACTAATTAAATTTCAAAATTTGATTCTCAAATGATACTATTTTTGATTCCTGAGAATTATAAAAAGGGCGACAAAACTCCAAATTAGAAACCCGATTAGTTGGCAATTTTTGTTACATGTTGATACGTAAAAATAAATATAAAGTTATTAGCAATCAACGCGAATAGATTCTCTCACGTGAAAATATGATCATGTTATTTGATCATAATCACTTATTTAGAAATTATACACTTTTCTCTCTCTTATCTCATCATCAATGTATCAATGAGTGACTATGATCAAATAACATAATCAGGTGACTATTTTTTCACATGTGAGGATCCATTTCCGCATTCAATCATCCAAGAACCCATCTCCATCATTTGACATGAAGGTTGAGAAATATGTCAAACTTAATGGTTAGATCTGCAATATGCAGCCTTATTCCAAAGGCAATCAAGGAAGAAAACAAAACTTGTTAAAAGGGTAGTTACCTGCACCGCTGACCATTTCTGAAATATTTTGTTGGGGTAAAATTTTTGCCATCATGTCCACCAAAAATAAAATAAATTTTTTTTGCCATAATATTTTTTTAACTGCACAAGATTTCAATCATTAAAAATATTTTTTGATGATAAAAAATTAAAAGCAATTAATGAATATCAGTCATTGAATTATTAACTAAGGTCAGTTTACTGTTTAAAAATGAATTGCAGATGATCCGAATTATTATTTACTAACGTACTTTGGATTTTTTTGCTTAACTTTATTCGGCAGTACTGATAAAATGTTTATGATGGCAAGGGCAAAATTAGAAATCTCACATTAGGGGTTAAATAATTTCTCTTTTTAAGGTGCCAAACATAAAACATTGAGTTTTATACAATTCTATAGGAGAAAAATGTTACACAGACAAAATAGAAATTACAAGTTAAATTGTCTATCTTATTTTGCTTTAAGCGATGGAGGAAAAACAGAAGAAACATATGGTAAAAAAATGTTAATAATAAAAAAAAAACGCTGAGTTAAAAAAAAAAAAAATCAAAAGTTTTTTAAGAAATATCTTAAAGCTTGGAGCTGTAGGCCCCGCCAGTACGCCTTTGCTCCGTCCTTATAGCCTTTTTCTAGCTTATCTCGTTGTCTTTATTCTTTAAAAGAAAAGATTTAATGTTGTGGATTTATTCCTAAAATTATCATTTGTGGGAAACTTCATACTACAATACAGTTCATGTCATTAATGCTATCATATCACCATGTATCCTATCTGACTTTGTTATATTCAATTAATTTGTTTTTTTGGATTTTATTGACTCTTTATTATTGAAAATTATTTTGTATTACATATTATTTGATAATAAAAATCATTATATTAGTTTAATTATAAAAGTAAAGTCAATATTACGTAAAGAAATAAAATAGGCCCATATTTTAAATTTATAAAGAATAAAATATGATTACTTTTTAAAGATATTTTCTACGAAAATCATACTTTTCTGCTACAGGAAAGCAAATTTTTATTCCTGCAGAGAATTCGTTTTCTGTATCAACTAATTTTTATTTTCTTTTGTTTTATAAAATGTGAGATTATACTTAATTGGTTTATGTTTTTTTCTCCTATATTTTTCTGTAACATAAGAAAACATCAACCCTATTTTCTAGCATGCAATATGCTTCAAGGCAATTCTTTACAATTTTCGTTCTCCAGTTATTAAAATTCGCTTGAGTCTTATTTAGTTTAGAATTTTCAAAATTTGAGGAACGCTTGAGCATGGTCTTGCACACGGCGATGAAGTTCAACGGCGGACTTTAATGTGTGTAAATGTGTGCAAGGGCACACACACAAATTTTTTGGGAAAAAAAATTAAAATATATTTTGGGTCATCAATAAAGATTATAGGACCAAAATTTAATTCCTTAAAATAAAAGTCATCTCGTGGTCTCTCAAAATTTCAAAATAGACCCATATTGGTCCTTTTGAGAGATTAATGTGAGTTTTTTTGAATTTTAGAGAGATCACGATTTTGATTATCTGGGTTTATTTTTGAATTTTGAGGGACCACGAGTCGATTTTTTTTCTAAGGAATTAAATTAGGGCAGTGGCGGACCCAGAATTTTTTTTTATGTCTGCACACTTAGGGACAGGGGTTCGGAGGTGGCCTCGAAATATGTTTTTAAAGATCATGATCCAATTTTTGCTTCCACTTCAAAAGTAAAGCTTTGGCGAATAAACCAAAATTTTAAAGAAACAGATAATGATACTTAATAAGAAATAAACACCACAAAAAGACATTTGTAAAATATATAATTGTAGGGTTAATCAATCAAAAATCATCTCTGTTTATGTTTATTTGATCCAAAGTTGACCACTTTTGCTTCACAAAAAAATATGAAAAATTTCATGCGATTCTCCTCCACTCAATGAAGATTGAATTTCAAGAATCGTTGATGTCTATTAAGATTTGGAACTAATAAGGTTTATGCTTAAAAACAAAAAAGAGACAAAGCAATGGGCTAAAGTTTAAGTTTTTAAGCTTTTAATTGCAGGGGTTGTTTGGGTTGGGCCTATCTTTAACTTTTTCCTTTCAATCTTTTTTTTGAGAAAATACTCTTTTTGGTCCCTAACAAAAAATATGGTCCTCACTTTAGTCCTTTACAAAAAATAATTAGTCGGTTGGTTCCTATGAAATTCAAAGTTGACCCATTTTAGTCCTTTTGAGGGACTAATGTGGGTCTTTTTTAAATTTGTGAGGGATCACGATTTCAACTAAATGGCTTTTGAATTTGTTAGGCACCTCGAGATTAATTTTTTTTTTGTAAGTGACCAAAGTGGGATCATATTTTTTGTTAGAGATCAAAAATGATATTTACTTTTTTTTTTCTTACTTGACCACTCTCCCATAAAAAAAAAATTCTCTAACTTTATGTCTGCAATTGCAGACACTTGCAACCAAGTAAGTCCGCCATTGAATTAGGGTCTGTAATTCTATTGTAACAGTTTGACTCTTGGTTATTTTTTTTTATGTTAAGTTAAAATTTTCTTTTCTTTTTCTATTTATATTCTTTTGTATTTTAATATATTTAAAAAAAATTCTTTTATTCTAAATATGCAGACATAAATAAAATTTTTTAGGTGCCCGTTGCGACGAAGCAATGGAAGTTTTATACAGATTTCTTGCCTACTAGGGTACGTAGTTTTCGTGCATGAGTATGACTTAATAATATATTCTTGGAATGTTCAAGCAACCATTCGAAACTCACTCTATAGTCTATTTTATATATGTTCTTTTATAAGTAGTTGATCGGCGAAAGCAGCGTTGATTGTTGGGCAAGTTTTAAGAAAAGTTATCACTTTATAAATGGTTCCTTCATCATCATTATTATAATTATATTTATTATTATTATTATTATTATTATTAAGTTAATGGTGCAAAAATCCTGTTGTGTCGGCCAATTATAGCATGCCCAGCTGAAGAAGGCATTGCCACTACGAGTAGATAATTGATCCATCACCCTCACGTTATTAATAATGATAACAATTGCCATGCTCCAAGCTTATTATATGTATACACAATCTTAAATGTACAGTTACTTGCCTCCATAGATTTAAGTAATAAATAAACGATGTGATATAAACCGAATTCCTAACAGTGTCTACTGGCTTCCTATTTGTATGTTAGGGACTCCATCAATGAGAGTGATTGCGCAATTATTATCAATCAGTGTTCTATTTTGATTCCTTATCATCTCTCTCTCTCTATATATATATATATTGATATTCTTATTATCTTTGCATATAAGGCACGACGAGGATGATAGTTCGCCAGCAATAGTCCCATTTTTGTCGAGTTTATATGATTTTTGTCAATGAAGAATAGTTCGCCTGCAAATTGTCCCATTTTGTCGAGTTTATGATATTTGTCGATCAAATTATTGACTATTTTGTTGCATTGCATTTATTGGAGCAGTGTGCTTATTGCAAATACACACCCTTGGTTAAGTAAAGACCCCACACTTACGTGTTATCTCTTATGATGTGAGTAATCAAATTGAATTGCCTCAATCGTATGGCTGTAACTCAATCAATAGAAACTTCATTTGAACAAGACATGACTTGACCACCACAATAAACTAACCGACAATGTAAAGCAACAAGAATTGAACTCCGTATATTAATTCAAGTACGGTTGAGTGGTTTGGCTTCCTCCATTCATGTTCATCTATAAATATTGAAGATGTTTGTTTTGTTCCATTCAATGAAAAATAAGTATATATATCTCAATATTGGCTTGCTTGATTGAAAATAACGGATTGCTTGCTTCTTAAGTTAAATGAATTTTATTTTATTTTATATAAAAAAAATCCCTTTAGAGAGCACTCCACATTAATTATTTTAGGTAATGCAAAAATTAACTTCATTTTCCGGTAAATAAAGTATATGCTCGTTGCTCAAGAAGTTAAACCAAAAAAAAAAAAAATTTTTTTTTTTTTTTTTTTGGGTATAACCTGGAGGTATCCTCATTCAACCTCCTGTTATTACCTTGTTCTCGGAGTACAGCTCTGAAGACTACTCCCTCATTGAAACAGCGGGTGCGTTGAGCTTCGTTATCAGAGAAAAGATAAGATTAAACCCCATTCGAGGAGAGAGGCACATCCTCTAGCGCCAATTTTTTTTTTAAGAATTTGCTTGAAGCAAGATTTGAACCCCGGATCCAAGTCACCCTTGGAAGCTCAGTTGCCAACTGAACTACCTTTGAGGGTTAAGAATGTAAAATTTTAGGGTTTGAAATATTTTATTTAAAAATAAGTATTACATAAGTGGTTTATTCGTCCAGTTAACTAGCATTTAATCAAATATCAAGAGAAATTCAAAATATTTAGTGAGATTTTTAAACTACAAAAATTTAATTAATGTTTCTAGAATTAGAAACACGCTTACAAAGTATTATCTTGCGGAATTAGGGTACTTAAGGTGGAGTTTAGGGTAAAAAAAGAAGAAGAAGAAGTTATTACAAAAAAGAAAAAAGAAAAAAAGAAGAAGAAGAAAGGGGAAGGGTGGGGTGATTGGACCGAAATTCTTCAATCTTCATAGGTATAGTATTGGACCGAAATAATACTATTTTGTATCAGTAACGCTTACGCCACAGTAGATGAACGTCCAACCTAACTCTCATGAAGTTAAAATTGACCATTGTGAATGACCCATGTGTCATGAATGCACCAATAAGAAATACTCACATCACATGTTCCCAACAGCCACCCTCATAGATGGAGTGAAACAATAAAAGGGAGACGTATAGGAAATTGATGAATTAGGAGTTGTAGGTCACCTCTCCCACACCTCATAACAGCTATACTATAAATCTAAACCATATTAGTCAAAACCGTAAAATAAATACCACACTCAGTCCTATTACCATTAACTAGTGTCCTTATATCCTTCACACTATACTAAATGCATCCGTCACCCCCATTTCCTCCCTCTCAATCAAATTCATAATATATATATATATATATATACACAACACACACAATAAACATCAATAACCTCTCAAGTTCCCAACCCACATTAAAGGACCAATCTCTTCTCTTGTTCTAAACTACCTACGCTGTTAACTCACGGCTCTCTACCCGCATGCTCCTTATTTTTTGCTACTTCTTCGCCCCAACGATAGCAAACGCCGTTAGAGTTAACGATAACTCAGCCTTTGAATTTGAAACTCCAACAAACTATGTCATCTCGCATTGTAGCGGAGAATGCATTACCCATCACTGACTCGACGCCGTATTTGGACCTAATGGAACTTAACGACTTCACGCGCCGCCCTATAGCCGGCGAGTCTCCCACGTTAGGACAGCTCCTCAAGCACGTTGGAGATGTACGGAAGGAAGCCGCCGGCGACGGCAGCGAGACGCCGGTGCACCACGCTCTCGACGTCAGCGACGCCACCGGAATCGAGTCTCGCTCGCTACCATTTGTCCTGTCTTTCAACAACCTCACTTATAGTGTCAAGGTCCGCAGTAAATTGAGCTTCTCCTCAATCTTCTCCCGCCGCCGCAACAGCAGCTTCGGCGCGGCGGCGGTGGCGGAGGTTCCGGCGGTTGGCGAGAGCATGTTCACGCGGACCAAGACTCTTCTGAATGACATCTCCGGCGAAGCACGCGACGGCGAGATCATGGCGGTCCTCGGAGCCAGCGGTTCGGGAAAGTCGACTCTGATCGACGCGCTGGCGAACAGAATCGCGAAGGGAAAATTGAAAGGAACGGTGGCGCTGAACGGCGAGGCATTGGGATCGCGGATGGTGAAGGTGATATCGGCGTACGTGATGCAAGACGATCTTCTCTTCCCGATGCTCACTGTTGAAGAGACACTGACGTTCGCAGCCGAATTCCGATTACCACGCTCGCTATCCAAATCAAAGAAGAAGACACGCGTCCAAGCCCTAATCGATCAGCTTGGGCTCCGGAACGCAGCGAAAACAGTGATCGGCGACGAAGGCCACCGCGGAGTCTCCGGCGGAGAACGGCGACGAGTTTCAATCGGCATTGACATAATTCACGACCCGATCATGTTGTTCCTGGACGAGCCAACCTCGGGGCTGGACTCTACGAGCGCGTTCATGGTGGTGAAGGTGCTGCAGAGAATCGCACAGAGCGGAAGCATTGTGATCATGTCCGTTCACCAGCCAAGTTACAGAATCCTCGGGCTTCTCGATCGTATGATCTTCCTGTCACGCGGCCAAACTGTGTACAGCGGTTCGCCGTCGCAGTTACCGTCGTTCTTCGCCGAGTTCGGTCATCCGATACCGGAGAACGAGAACCGAACAGAGTTCGCGTTGGACCTGATTCGCGAGCTGGAAGGTTCACCGGGCGGAACGAAGAGCTTGGTGGAGTTCAACAAGTCATGGCAGAGCATGACGAAGCATCACCAACAACTTTCTTCAGGTAATAATGACGCTGAACCAAACGGCTTGTCGTTGAAAGAAGCAATCAGCGCGAGTATTTCGAGAGGGAAATTGGTGTCTGGAGCCACCAACACGAACGCGAACCCTTCTTCAATGGTGCCAAGGTTTGCGAACCCGTTTTGGATTGAGATGGCAACGCTGTCGAAACGTTCGGTCACGAATTCGAGGAGAATGCCTGAGTTGTTTGGGATAAGGTTGGGTGCGGTTATGGTGACTGGGTTCATTCTTGCCACCATGTTTTGGCAACTTGATAACTCTCCAAAAGGGGTGCAAGAAAGGCTTGGCTTTTTCGCATTTGCCATGTCAACAACCTTCTACACAACAGCTGATGCACTCCCCGTGTTCCTCCAAGAACGCTACATTTTCATGAGGGAAACTTCTCACAATGCTTATCGCAGATCATCCTATTTGGTCTCTCATGCTCTTGTTGCGTTGCCTTCGTTGGCTTTTCTCTCATTGGGTTTTGCTGCCACCACTTTCTGGGCTGTGGGACTTGACGGTGGAGTTTCGGGGTTCTTCTTTTACTTTCTCATAATATTTGCTTCCTTCTGGGCTGGGAACTCCTTTGTCACCTTCCTTTCTGGTGTGGTGCCTCATGTGATGCTGGGTTACACCATTGTTGTTGCAATTCTTGCGTATTTCTTGCTGTTCAGTGGGTTCTTCATCAACAGGGATAGGATCCCAATTTACTGGATTTGGTTCCACTACTTGTCGCTGGTCAAGTACCCTTACGAAGCTGTTCTGCAGAACGAGTTTAGTGACCCAATGAAGTGCTTTGTGAGAGGGGTGCAGATTTTCGACAACACACCACTGGGTTCCGTGCCAGATGCCCTCAAGTTGAAGCTGTTGGATAGCATGAGCAACACTCTGGGAATGAAGATCACGAGCTCAACGTGTTTGACGACGGGTACTGATATATTGAAGCAGAATGGGGTGACAGATTTGAGCAAGTGGAACTGTTTGTGGATCACAGTGGCTTGGGGTTTCTTCTTCAGGTTTCTCTTCTACTTGTCTTTGTTGGTCGGCAGCAAGAACAAGAGGAGGTGATCGATCATCTGACCAAACCTAAAAGATCAGAAGTTTGGCTTCTTACTAAGTTTAAATTTGTGCATCCTTTTATTCTTTTTTATTTTTTATTTTTATTTTCCCCTCCATTCTATTTGTTACGTACTTTTGTAACCTGTTCTTTCCAATGGGCTGGTATTCTGGTACAAAAAACGTGATGTTCATTTCGTTAATTACTCAGAAAATTTGCTTATCATAAAGTACGTTTTTGTTACTTTTTTGAATATCTATCTTTTTGGGGTCCTACAATAATTTTAATCGAAAAGAGGCTCACAGCTTATCGCATTCGCCCTCTGTCTCTCTCTCTCTCTCTCTCACAGCTTAATCGAAAAAAGTTGCGTAGAGCAAAAAGTACATGTTTCTGACAGTGAAATAGTGAATGACATCACAAATTAAAAAATAATTTTCATAGTTTTTATTGTTACCTTTTTATTTACATATTGTTATACAAAAAATTACAATTAAATCTCTATATTGCAAAATGATGAACAGTCATAATAATAATACATAAATATTTATTATGATATTTTATGAAAAATGATTATGATCCTGAATTATTTTTATTTGAAATAATTAATAAATAAGAGATGAGACGTGACCTAATAATAATAAAGTATTAGAAAGTACTTAAAAGCGTATGTCAATAGCATTTTTTGCTTACATAAATTATAAATAGAGTAAACATTTTTTTTTGTCCCTAACAAAAAATATGGTCCCCACTTTAGTCCTTTACAAAAATAAATTAGTCAGTTAGTCCTTAACAAATTCAAAGTGTACCCATTTGAGTTCTTTTGAGGGACTAATATGGGTCTTTTTTGAATTTGTGAAGGACCACGATTTCAACTAAATGAGTCTACTTTGAATTTGTTAGGGACTGACTGATTAATTTATTTTTGTAAGGGACTAAAGTGAGGACCGTGCTTTTTTGTTAGGGACCAAAAAAAGTATTTACTCTTATAAATATTTGAATGTATACTAGAATTATGTATTAAGTCAATTATATTATTAATGGAAAAAATGTTTCTGCAGTTACTGCAGATAAGTTATCTTTATTTTTTTCAAAACGATGTCGTTTTGGTATTGAAATCTTAAAAAAATTATAAATATAAAGACTATTATAACTCTGAAATAAATTTAAATTACAAAAATATCATGATTTCCGTCCCAAAACGACGTTGTATTGGGCTTACTGCAGATACCTTATCTGCAGTAACGGCAGAAAAAGCGAACATAATTAATAAACATAAATAATTAATGAGTTCGCTTTTTCTGCATTTACCGCAGATAAGTTATCTGCAATAAACCCAATACGACGTCGTTTTGAGGCGAAAATCAAAGTGTTTTTGTAATTTTAATTTATTTCAGAATTATTATAGTCTTTATAATTATAATTTTTGATTCTTTCAATCCCAAAACGACGTCGTTTTAGGAATAAATGCAAATAACTTATCTGCATTAACTTGCAGAAATATTTTCTAATAATTAATTACTATAATTTGTCATAATAAAATATGTGATTAATTAGTGGACTTAAATTGAGTGTCCTGAATTTGGTTTTTCGTGGACCCGATAGATAAGAAACTAATCTCATACAATATAGTTAAGTGCTGAAAAACAAAGTTTTTCCTAATGATAATTTTTTTATAAACAAGTTCTAAAATTCAACCTGAAATTACATGTTTAAGATATTTACGTCCTTTCTTTACTTAAGCAACTTACAACGTAGAATATGGGATATTCTTTTTTTTTTTTTTTTCTATCTACTCAAATACCGTTGGATTAAATTTTCAATTACCTTTATAATTTTTCTTTTTTTGTTAAGATTCTAATATAATATAGTTGAAGAATAATAGACAAAAATAAATAAAATAAACTATCCCATAAAATATTCATTTGTTAGTTATGACCCATCTCGATTTTTGTGCGTATGTATATCCTAATTGTTCGTTTCATATAATAGGTGACGTGTTTCTTTTACGTGTCATAATTTTGTGAGGTCGAAATACAAGTGAGAATTGAATTGTACCAAAAAAGAGTGCCTTATCCGAAACAAACAGAGTGAGGGGGGAAATGGCGAACATACAATCACAGTCTGTGCAACTCGCAAACCCATTTCCGCTTTCTTCTTCCAAACCTCATCTTCACAGGCCCTTCCTTCTCTTCACCACCCGAGCCACCGATTCGGACCCATCGCAACCCGAATCCGAGCCACCCGCCACCGCCGACGACTTCGACAACCGCATGAGCGAATTCCGCCTCCGTTACCGGAGCGGCACAGGAAAGAAGGCGGAGCTCCGAAAGAGCCGAAAGTCCAAGAAGGGGGCTTCCGGGTCGGGTTCGGGTTCCGGCGTTTACCTTCCGCCGGTGCCTCTGAAAGAACCGGTATCTGGCGGGTTGAAGGTGGAATTAGGGTTCAGCCAATACAGTGAGCGGTTGAACGGGCGAATTGCGATTCTTGGAGTGACGGCGCTGTTGCTGGTGGAGCTAGCAACGGGGAAAGGCGTGATCAAGTACCACACACCCTCCATTGTTATTGTTCAGATCTATTTTGTTGCTGCAGTTTCTGCTCTTTATGTTAAGTATGAGAAGGAGAAGATCAGTGTTTGGCCTGATTCTTCAACTAATAAATGATTTTCAATTTTGAAACACTTGGTTGTTCGGTTTCTTCACCCTAATTGTCACGTCACGGATGCTATTTTTACTTGTGAAAAAAAAAAAATTATTGTTGAGCTTCAATTTTCATGTCAAAATTTGATTCAACGAATGTACACAAGGGGTAACATGTAACAATCTATTAGTGTTATTATCAATCAATTTTAGCGAACGATTATATTTATTTTCATCTTTAATCTTTATTTCTGCTTTTATATGATTATAATTGTCCACATTAAATATGAAGAATCATAATCATATAAAGATGAAAAAAAAAATAGTGAAATTGATTAATAATAACATTAATTAGTAAAATTGATTGATAATAACATTGATAATTACACTAATTGATTATTACAATGTCGTATCTCATAATATAAAAGGATTTTTTTATGTAAATTTATAATCTAGCTTCCTTTGGTAAGATGTTTCTTCCAATTGTTTTTGTTAATCTTGATCATTTGTTACGAGATGTAATTAATCAATTGAAATAAGAGTTTATATTTATAATAAAATATGATTACATTTAAAAATGAGCAAAGAGCGTAGGAAATTGAAATTGAAGATGATTTTATTACTATCTCCTGAACAAAATTACATGACATCTACACAGTCCTGTCCTATACCAGGAAAGAATCCAAACAAAACAATGTTTATAAGGCCATTTTGATTAGAACGTTAGAGGGCTGGAAATATTTTTCCATATTGTATAATGACTATAATCCACTTTTGTAATCCGAGATTGAAGACTGATGTTACAGGACACGATCTAACAGCCTTTTTAGCTACCCTCCTCCTCCTCCTATAAATATATTTTCCGGTACAAGAAGTACACAGAGAGGGCTGCAACATTTTCCACTGAATGATCTCTCACTAATGTAATTGAAAAGAATCTACATGGTTATAAAGGTGCCCTTGCTAAAAAATCATTAACAGCAAGTTTGGCATCTCCGTGGGCCACAGCATCCTCTGGCTCTGGCACAAACAGACTAGATGATGAAACCTGCAAAAAAAAAAAAAAAAATTCCTCATAAGATCACTGAGCAATCATGCTACATTTAACCCGTTAGCTATATCTATCAAAAGGATGGGAACAAAACTCTCGACTCAATTAGCGCCTGCAGTACAGTGAATATAAAAAGGGTAGAGATCAAACATACTTTTGTGTCAAGCAGCACGTCGCTGTTGTCATCAGTAATTATGCTGGCACCGTGTGCTTTTAACCATTCTAAACACTCTTCCAATGCATCCGTGTCTTTATCATCTCCATTTGTGGCCACAACAGTTGAGAATCCAAGAATCTGAGAAACGTATGAAACAGGTACAGTTGGGCGATATGACCGGCACATGCAGCTCACAGCTTTATAACGCATCCTTTCAACATAAAGATCTGTGGATATTAAAAAAATGATATCAGTTTATCCCGTTTTATAAAATTTGTTACCTACCAAGCTACCCTCAACGTGAAAACAAGTTAATTGTAAATACTCACCCATAAGGCAGGTGTTTAAGTTAGGAGCTGCTGTGTATAGTCTAAAGAATGCAACATAGTTTCCTGAAGTTACAGCTGCACGAACTGCGAGGGCATGTTTTACAGCTTCATCCTTCTTTGCTTCGTCAGATAACCTGTCATCAATGGCATCAGAAACCAGAGGTGTTCTATGATAATAACAATAGTACATACAATAATTGAGACTACAACGTCATACTTGTACAATTACTACAATAATTCAAGGCAATATATGTATGCATAGCCATTGAAGGATTTAATATATGACGGTCCAATTCTTTATCTTGTTTGTCAAGGCTTCAACACCGAATTACTTATTTCCACCCAAACAGCTACCAATTGGAGCCTTAAGCACCATCCTGTTTTGACCAAACTACCCTTGCCATGACATAACTACAATAAATATTCAAACCACCAGTTTTCTACCAATAATCTTTTCCAGGAAAACTAACTCCAGGCAATGTAACTATCATTGTTCTGCTGTCCTTTGTCACACAAACTTCTTAGCGATGTAGCAAGACTTCCCTGTGTAGAAACAAGATTTTTTTCTTTGTTCATTAATTTTTTTAATGTGAAAAAGACTCCAATGTATTATTTTTCAACATTTCATAGTTATTCAGAAGATGAATAACTAGAACAGAGAAAAAAAAAGGGCCTCCAAAGCAACAAGAATTGTGAGAGAAAATGGGAGCAACTAACACCACACTATGACAGCAAGTTTTTGTGTAGCAAACTAGAAATAAACCTTGATAGTTTAATAGATTTACGATGAGATCAATCCAGTCAAATTTACCAATGCATGTTTCTGGGACCTTAATTCCCAAAGGACCCAAAATAGTAAATTTCAATAATGCAGACAATAATAATAATAATAGCACAAAATTTTGGTAGGTGAGTTACATAATTGAATTCTTGGTAGAATTTTGAAACAAAAAATCATCTAGTAAGCATGTAAGTACGGGGCCAACCTTGCCATTGAAGATAGGAGATCTCTGTTATTATTTGAATGCATTATGACACAAAGCAAGTTGTAAGCAGCAAATTCCATATAAGACCCCTCAATCCCTTCAGCATAAAGAGTTTTCAACTGAGATTGGCACTGAAATCACACAAATATCGTCAATATCTAAACCAAAAAGTTGAATAATATCCTCAATTTCTATAATAAATCATTCCCATTTCCAAAACAAGCAAAATTTTACCAAAATTTGTCCCCTGAATTAACATTTATAATTTACTGCTTCATTTTGCATCATTACGCAATTCATAGACCAGCTTAGATCTTGACATGTTTTGCAGGTTGAAACACAAGCATCTACACTAAAACACTAATATAAGAATTGACCATTACACAAATTGTCTAGGTATAATTATTGGAGGTACTGTTCAGTAAATTCCAACATATAGAATGACTCCATTATAACTTGAAAAACATTGATGGCTTTGAATGAAATATATTAATCCATGATCTCAGAAGGAAAAGTGACACAGATACATAACCAGTAAATGCATCATTAATAAAAAAGAAATCAAAGCATAAAATGAATTAGTACATTGTAGTTTCTTCAAACAATATACAGAACTAACCTGATTATACTCAGGCAGGTCCCCAACTTCCAGTGCAAATCGGGCATGCGTTTCATACACCTGAAACATTATTTCAAGAGTTATCAATTGCAGAAAAAGTTGAAGATACAAGATATGCACAATAAACAACCACCACAAAAGTCTTTTCCCACTAAATGAGGTTGACCACATGGGTCAAATTAACATTTTATTCTGTCAAAATCCAATTATGGTATGCAGAATGCATTAAAATAATTAACATAGAAGAAGAGGATAAACTGCTTTCACCATAATAGCTCTTTAATATGGATAAGGAAATTTTAATTTTAAATTAGTACCTTGACTGTTAATTGATTGCGTATTCGTTGCACAGTAAGGTCCTGGCGAATAGACTTTAACTGGTCACATTTATAAAGGTAATTCTTTTGGGAATTTTGAACCATCAACAGTGCTTTTTCAAGAACCTCTTCAGGTCTTACCTGTAAGTTAATAACATTTTAAATTTTTAACAGAACTGCTAGTTAAGGAGGGGACGGGAAGACAGATAAAAGTAGCACAGCATGCCATTTAAATTTCTGAGAGGAGATATTACAGTGGCAGGATCAGGTGCAGAAGTTAGGCGCAGGTAACGCTTTTCAATTTCCTGGCAAGTACCCTTTACAGTAAGAGCATCCCAGTCAATGTCCTCAACAGCTTTGCTGACACCGTCTTCAAAGCTTTTGCTCAGCACCAAGGCACTAGCCCTTCTGTTGTACAAGTTTCCAGCTCCAGCATTTTTCTTTCTGAAGTGATTATTTTCCGTCCGATGCCCTTGTCCTAAATCAAAACGCTTAGAACGATTTTCCCGTCTCTTCCTTTCCTCTGGAGAATCACTAAAAGTCATTGCAGCAGAATAATATGCTGTCAAACTTTGTTCCTTATCACTATCACTAGATGCATCACCATTTTCAGAACCAACAGAAGCATCAGCAGTACGCTGCTTCTTAAATGGCCTTTGGGAAGCCTTACTAGATGTTCTCTGCAGGAATGGAGAAAATTTAGTATTCCTCAAACCATCCTCCTTGCTCTGCTTGTTCTCCAATTCCACCTGCATGCCATTAGTTTAGGTGAATGAAACACATAATATGTGTAACTTATTGAGACAAATAATTCTCATTCTCAACATGAATGTAGTTGAAAAGTAATTTTATTGAAAAAAGTTCGCAGATAAAAAAGCCCATCCAAACAGAATGAGACAGACACAGACACGCACACAAAAATAAATCCATGTTGGCTTTTTATGTGTCTGTAAACAAGGCTACTACATAGAATAAATGTTATGCTATTTGTCAATAGTGACATGTCTTATAGAATATTAAAAAATTAAATTAGCCACTAAGGTCAAATATAATACAGAGAGAATTGAAAAGGTTTATACCAAACAAAATATTAAGTCACTCACAGAAGCCACCATAAAGATTCCTGAATATCCAAAAAGAAATCAAGAACAAAAATCAAGGCTAACATATATATAGCACTTGAGCCCCATATTTGTCCAGAATGGAAAAAAATGGATGCCAATATTTTTAGCTCTAAGGAAAAGCAAAGGACCATTAGGACTAGAATCCTGGCAATCCTACACAAACAATATTATACTGCAATGACAATCATAATCATATAAAATTTACATTCAAATGATACTGTATGTAACATATCATTTGGTCAATATGCGATCACAAAATGGACCTATATCCAGATTCCAGATCACAATAGTAAATATCCATTATCATAGGATAAAAACAGCATGAAATGAAGTAAAACCAATAATAAAAAAATAGAAGGAAAACAAACAAGAGTGAGCTCATTAACTACAGTTGCACTCCATTCAAAATTTATAAAAGGAAGCGACAAGAATAACACCAGGTGGAACCTTCAAAAATCAATAAATTACTTATTTAAGTCTATAAATACCTTTCTATCCTTTTCATTAGATGTCCAACCACTGTATTTAACAGTATCGTTACTGATCAACACTGGATTATCAACTGGCTTCTCCTCTGGTAATGGTTCCCACCTACTTTTAGATCGCCTAGGACTTCTTTTATACTTTGGCAATAAAGAATCATGGATTGAAGACAGTGAACTACTGCATGAAATGATAACATATAATATTTATCATGAAAAAATTGCATGATTGCATCACTTATAATAATTTTCATAATAATAACAATAATATTCAACCATTAGAATGACAATTAAATATGTTAAAATTCATGGGATAGGATACAAATAAAACACAGGTCCAATATGCATGATACAAGAACGAATATGGGCTTTCTAACCAAAATAATTTTTTACAACATCAACAACACCTATATTCCTAACTAATTGGAGTTGGTGGTAGATGAACCCAAATGAAAGATAGGAAGAGATTGAAAAAAGATAAAAATGAAATTTAAGAGTGTGTATAAATATATTCTAAAGAACCAATTCAACCCAAAAGCTTAAGCTATTGGGTGAGGCTACATTAATGATTTTATATATCTCAACACGTCTCCTCACACGAGAGCCCACTGGGCTTGAAGGGTGGACAATGCACAGGCCCACCTACCTGTGCGAACAAAGAAATTCCACTTGAAAGAAAGTGGGGGGCGGCGAGGATCGATCCCGGGACACGAGCTCTGATACCATGTAAAGAACCAATTCAAACCAAAAGCTTAAGCTATTGGGTGGGGCTACATTAATGATTTTATATATCTCAACATATATAAAAGAAGGAAACAATTAAAGGGAAAGTATATTAAGGTAAACTAAAAATAAGAGGGCAAAAAAGAGTAAGAAAGTAAGAAGATTCAAAAAAAAAGTAATAATAATAAAAAGATGAACCCAAATGAAAGATAGGAAGAGATTGAAAAAACTAAATGGAGTTGGTGGTAGATGAACCCAAATGAAAGATAGGAAGAGATTGAAAAAAGATAAAAATGAAATTTAAGAGTGTGTATAAATATATTCTAAAGAACCAATTCAACCCAAAAGCTTAAGCTATTGGGTGAGGCTACATTAATGATTTTGTATATCTCAACACGCCCCCTCACACGAGAGCCCACTGGGCTTGAAGGGTGGACAATGCACAGGCCCACCTACCTGAGCGAACAAAGAAATTCCACTTGAAAGAAAGTGGGGGGCGGCGAGGATCGAACCCGGGACACGAGCTCTGATACCATGTAAAGAACCAATTCAAACCAAAAGCTTAAGCTATTGGGTGAGGCTACATTAATGATTTTATATATCTCAACATATATAAAAGAAGGAAACAATTAAAGGGAAAGTATATTAAGGTAAACTAAAGATAGGAGGGCAAAAAAGAGTAAGAAAGTAAGAAAATTCAAAAAGAAAGTAATAATAATAAAAAGAAAAAAAAATAGATAATATATATATATATATAAGTAAAAATAAAAAGGTATAAGGAAAAAAAAAGATAAATAAGAGGGGGATTGGGAAGGGGAAAAGAGATAAAAGAAAAGATGAGGAAAAAAGAAGGGGGGGGGGGGGTGGGGAAGATGAAGATGAAGAGGTCTAGAAAGAGACCATCTAACCCTTCACTATGCTTATAGCCTTTCTCCATTCCGTCCTAAGACACACGACCCGCCAATCTATATCCCATTCCATTAAGTCTTGTTTTACTATCTTCCCCCAAGTAAGTTTCGGTTGATACAACTGACTCAGAATATGACATTAAATGCAAGAACAACAGCAATTTGGTCCAGAAGCAACAACTTCTGGGTTTTCTTATATTGATTGAAGGAAATTACAATCCTGGAATGTAAATATCTAGCTAAGATAACAGTAACAAGCAATATAATTCAACACAATTTGAGAGGTGCTGATTCTCTCCCAGTTTCCAATCCAATTTCCTAGTGCTTTCTTCCCTTCACGCCATGCTTCAAATAACCAACTTCCCACTAGCCACGTCATGCTTTTTCTCACTCTTGGCCTCCAATTCTAACAGAATTCCCTTCTAGAATCTCCTTTGCTGAGTCACTTACTCCTAATATTCCTCTGTGACGCCTCCTAGAGTAAACTTTGGGACTCACCGTATCAATACTCCCCCCCAACACTCTCACCTTGTCCCCAAGGTGAAAGTCTGGAAAGTTCTGGTTAAGTCTAGCGGAATCTTCCCAAGAATTTTCAAAGGCTGGCAATTGTGACCATTTGATTAAAACCTCCGTACGTTCAGCAGCATTCTGCCTCCACTCCAATACGGTTTCAGGCTGTACTAGTAACTCGAACTCCTCATTCAACATTGATGGCAAAGGCTGTACTTCAGTAGATGGTGAAACAGCTTTCTTGAGAAGAGAAACATGAAACACGGGATGCACTTTACTCTCAGGGGGTAATTGCAAGTGATAAGCCGTCATTCCCACGCGTTTTATTACGGAAAAAGGACCATAAAAGCGTGGGCTGAGTCTCTCATTGATTTTTCTAGCCAATGACTTCAACCTATAAGGTTGTAATTTCAAGTAGACCAAGTCTCCAACCAGAAATTCCACATCTCTCCTATGTTGGTCAGCTTGTTGTTTCATCCGATTCTGGGCCTCAAGCAAGTGTTGTCTTAAATCCTGTAAAATAACATCCCTATCATTCAGCAACTTGGACACCTCATCATTAGGGGAGTTAGCAAAATAGGAGTGTAACAAAATTGGTGGATCACAGCCGTAGAGCACCTTAAAAGGGGTAGTGCCAGTAGAATCTTTATGAGCAGTATTGTACCAAAACTCAGCCCAATGTAACCAATGGGGCCAAGATTTAGGCTTTGGGCAACAGAAACATCTCAAGTAAGTCTTCAAGCAGCGATTGACCACCTCCGTTTGGCCATTGGACTGTGAGTGATATGCCGTACTATACTTGAGCTTAGTGCCAGAACATTTAAAAAGCTCAGTCCAAAAAGAGCTTAGGAAAATCTTGTCCCTATCACTTACAATGGAAGCAGGGAACCCGTGAAGACGAACCACCTCTTTGATAAAAACCAACGCCACCTCCTTAGCAGTAAAAGGGTGAGCCAAAGCTATAAAGTGAGCGTACTTGGACAAACGATCCACAACGACAAAAATAGTGTCGACCCCATGAGCTTTGGGTAATCTTCCCACAAAGTCCATCAAAATGTCAACCCAAACTTGTTGGGGAATAGGCAGGGGTTGTAACAAACCCGCAGGGGACAGGTTCTGACACTTATTTTGTTGGCAGCTTACACAAGATGCCACATAATCCTTAATTTGCTTCCTCATTCCTTCCCAATACACCACTGCAGCAATTCTTTTGTATGTGCGCAAAAATCCTGAATGCCCGCCCACACACGAGTTATGAAGCTCTTCTAGAATATGAGGAATAAATCTGGAATGTTTAGACAAAACTAACCTTCCCTTAAAAAATAACCTGCCACAACTCATGGAGAAATCTGGGTGCTTGTTCTTGTCTGTCAATACTTCCATCATAACCGTGCGCAACTTTTCATCAGCCTGCAATTCACCCTCTAGTTCATCACAACCCACAGGGGCCCACACAAGTCAGGGCAGAAAATTGCACCTGGCGAGAGAGTGCATCCGCTACAACATTTTCCTTCCCGGGTTGATACTGAATTTCAAAATCATAACCAAGTAATTTGGTTACCCATTTTTGCTGTTCTTCGTTCAGTACCCGTTGCTCTGTCAAGAACTTAAGGCTCCTTTGATCGGATTTAATAATGAAATGCCGGCCCAACAAATAGGGCCGCCATTTTTGAACAGCGAACACTATAGCCATGAGCTCTTTTTCATAAATGGATTTCTCTTGAGCTCTCAAGGAAAAACCTTGACTCCAGAAACTGATGGGACGCCCTTCTTGCATCAACACCGCACCTACTCCACGTCCGGAAGCATCAGTTACTACTGTAAAGGGTTTGTCAAAATTCGGGAGTGCCAACACTGGTACAGGACACATAGCTGACTTGAGCTGTTCAAAAGCCAATCGAGACTGTTCACTCCAAAGGAAGCTGTCCTTTTTCAACAAGTCCGTCAGTGGCTTGGCTATCTTGCCATAATCTTTTACGAAATTACGGTAATAGCCGGTTAGCCCCAAAAATCCCCTCAGTCCTTTTACATCTTTTAGGAGTGGCCATTGCAACATTGCTTCCACCTTCTTTGGATCAGCACTAACACCCTTGGAGGAAATGATGTGGCCTAAGTACTCTACTTGATGTAAAGCAAAGCAGCATTTCTTGCGGTTGGCCACCAACTGATGATTTCTCAATGCCTCAAATACTGATTTCAAGTGCCCCATATGCTCCTGTCTGCTGCAGCTATAAATTAGAATATCATAAAAAAAAAACTAGCACAAATTTACAAAGGAACGGTTTCAGAATTTCATTCATCAATGAATTGAAAGTAGAGGGAGCATTGGTGAGCCCAAATGGCATCACCAAGTACTCATAGTGGCCTTCATGTGTTCTGAAAGCCGTCTTTGGGATGTCATCTTCTTTCATCCTGATCTGATGGAACCCTGATTTAAGGTCCAACTTGGAAAACACGCTTGCCCCTCCCAATTCATCTAGCAACTCCTCAATAACAGGAATAGGAAACCGGTCAGGCACTGTGATCTTATTTAAAGATCTATAGTCAACACAAGCTCTCCAACTCCTATCCTTTTTCCTTACCAGAATTATGGGACAAGAATAGGGACTAATACTGGTTCTAATCAACCCAGAATTTAATAACTCAGAGACCAACTTCTCGATAATAGCCTTTTGGTAATAGGGGTACCTGTAAGGCCTCAGGTTGGGAATATCACAACCTGATTTGAGAAGGATAGCATGATCGTGTCTCCTTTTTGGTGGCAACGTCGTGGGCTCTTGGAACAAGTCTTCGAACTCCAGCAACAAACATTGCAGTTCTGGCCACAAACTTTCAGGTGTAGCCTCTGTGGTGGGAGTCCAGTACTGGTCTACCACGAACCCTTGTCCTTCAGTTGACAAAGCCTTGACCATGGAACGGAAGGAAGTAGTCGTCTTAGTACTGGATAATTCCGGGTCCCCCTTCAACTCCTTCTCCTTCCCTTTGATGCCGACCTTTAACGTTAATTTGTTAAAGTCAACCTTTATCTCACCCCATTGTTTCAACCAGTCTAGCCCCAAGATTACTTCAGCTCCACCCAGCTCAAAAAGGAACAGATCCTCTCGAGATGTAACACCCTGAAGATCAATTTCCACCTTACGACATACACCTTGGCACTCCACTTTATAACCATCACCTACCTCCACCTTATACTTGAGAGATTCATCTACTGGAAGACGTAAGCGCTCCACCACTGTTCTGGCCACGAAGTTGCGAGTCGCACCACAGTCCACCATCATCACCAACCGTTCCCCGCGAATCGACCCCCAAAATTTCATGGTTTGGTTCGAAGAGAGCCCTATTAAGCTGTACATCGACAGTTGCAAGGTCAGGTCATCCTCCTTGGGTGGCTGAATCTCCTCCGTCGGGTCATCTTTCTGATCCAGTAAACCCGCATCAGCCTCATCTCCTTCGTCCACCACCAAGAAGTGAAATTGGGGAAACTTGCAACGATGAGTGGGGCTCCATCGTTCCTCGCATTTGAAGCACAATCCCTTTCTGGATCTTTCTTGGAGCTCAGCTTGCGGTAACCGACGGCCATCTACCCTAGAAGATGAACTGCCCATGCTCTCATTGACACGCACACCCCCACTTGTGCCCTCCTGAGTATTGTGTGTGTTAGACGTTGCCCGCGCGTCTCAACTCCCAGCGTTGCCACTCGGACGCGTGTCCGATGATGAGCCAGCGTGATTAAAACTAGTCACGTGCTTGGGGTTAGCTGAGGTCCATGAAGTCCGCGTGGGTTGTTGTATGCGATTGGGCCCAGCCCACTTACTACCCGTTCCAAACCCGTCTTGGACCCAAGACTGGTTTCGCTTCTCCATCATGGACGTCTCCTTCATCAGCTCTCCAAGGTTAGCGATGTTCTTCTGTAACAATTCTGTGCGCAACCCTTCCTTCAACCCGTAGAGCCAGATTTCTTTAAGCATGAGTTCATCAGCATAATGTAACGGACTAATGATCCGTTCAAATTCCGCTCGGAACACAGCGACGCTCCCGGTTTGCCGGAGGCTCATCAACGTCTGATACGGGCTCCCCATCGTCTCCATGGTGAACCTCTCCATTACATCAGATCTGAAATCTGCCCATGTACTATTTGGGTTGTTTCTCTCCCATACTTGGAACCAGTTAAGGGCCGCTCCGTCCAACACCACCATTACAGCGTCCATCTTGTCTAGATCACCAATCCGATTCACCAAGAAATACCTCTCTACCTTGGTCAACCATGAATACACATCTTCTCCACTGAATCTGGGCATCTCCAACCGAGTCAATCGTCCTCCTACGGCCTGGGTTGCCCTTTCTTCAACCCATTCTGATTCAATAGACGTTTGGCTCCTCCGTCGAGATCGCCCTCGTTGTCTTCGGCCCACCGGACTCGGAATGCTTCGATTCAGTCGTTCACCCTGTAGCAATTGAAGAATATCCGTCAACCTTTGATCGGTCCTCTGATGTCGTTCCTCTGCCAATTCTTCATTCCGGCGGAAACGTCCGTCAATAGCTTCGATCCTTGCTTCCATGTTACGCGTTACAACCATTCAAAGCCCTCCCTGGATCAGAGTGCTCTGATACCAGTTGATACAACTGGCTCAGAATATGACATTAAATGCAAGAACAACAGCAATTTGGTCCAGAAGCAACAACTTCTGGGTTTTCTTATATTGATTGAAGGAAATTACAATGCTGGAATGTAAATATCTAGCTAAGATAACAGTAACAAGAAATATAATTCAACACAATTTGAGAGGTGTTGATTCTCTCCCAGTTTCCAATCCAATTTCCTAATGCTTTCTTCCCTTCACGCCATGCTTCAAATAACCAACTTCCCACTAGCCACGTCATGCTTTTTCTCTCTCTTGGCCTCCAATTCTAACAGAATTCCCTTCTAGAATCTCCTTTGCTGAGTCACTTACTCCTAATATTCCTCTGTGACGCCTCCTAGAGTAAACTTTGGGACTCACCGTATCAGTCTTCTTCTACCTCTTTTTGTGTCGAGCTCTTAGTAACAAACTATGTTCTTACGGGAGGATCCATGGGCCTTCTCATTACGTGCCCAAACCACCTCAATCTATGTTCCCTCATCTTTTCAGCCACCGGCACTACTCCTACCTTTTGTCGAATATCTTCATTTCTTATCTTATCTTATCCATCCTCGTATAACCACACATCCACCTTAACATCCTCATTTCTACTACTCCCATTTTATGCGCATGTTGCCTATGTGCTGACCAACACTCAGCTCCATATAACATTGCAGGCCTTACTGCTGTTCTATAGAATTTTCCTTTTAGCTTAAGGGGAATTTTGCGATCACACAAAAACCCAAATGCACTACGTCATATCATCCACCCTGCTCTGATTCTATGATTTACATCCTCATCAATATCTCCACCATTTTGCAAGATTGATCCCAGATATCTAAAAGCATCTTTCTTAGGTACCTCTTGTCCAAGCAGATGCACGGGATCTTCATCTCCATCTCTTACCAGAGAAAACTCGCACTTCATATACTCAGTCTTGCTCCGGCTTAACGTGAATCCTTTAAACTCCAAAGTGCTTCTCCACAATTCAAGTTTTCTATTAACATCATTTTTGGTCTCATCAATAAACACAATATCATCTGCAAAAAACATACAACATAGCACTTCCTCTTAAATATCTTTTGTTAGCTCATCCATTACTAAGGCATAAAGATAAGGACTTAGAGCCGAAACTTGGTGTACACCTACCGCGGCATGAAAATAATTTGATGTTCCATATTACAAGCTTTCACACATGTAGTAACCCCATCATACAGGTCCTTGATTGCATTTACATACTTTAATGGTACTTTTTTCTTCTTAAGAACCCACAATAAACTTTTCTTGGGACCCTATCATATGCTTTCTCAAGATCTATGAATATCATATGCAAGTCCTTCTTTTCTCAAATTCAATTTTTTACAACAATTTACCAAAATAATATCAAAAACAAAAAACACTCCACCAAGATAGGGTACTTTTTGCCAACTTGGTACGTCACGTCTGCAAGGAGAAAATCCACTTAGCATCGTGCATGGGTGCTCCTGTCACCCGTGCTGACTCTTTGACCATGTGCTCCTCTACCCCATGCAAAGATTCCTCTCCTTTGCCTCGGCAAGACCAGAATGAGCAATCTTTCTTTCTACACTAAACACACGTGAAACATCCCCAAATTCAACCCACCTCCCACCCAAAAAAAAAAAAAAAACACCCCTCCCTTATATTAACACGCTGTGCTCTACACTTTCAAAAGTCACTCACTATTCCAAGACTTCAATACACAAGTAAATATTTATTAATGCTAATTTATTATATAATTTGATATATATATATATATATATATACACAAACACACATGTTTTTGGGGTTAATTAATATATATTATTTGTTTCAACAAAAACAATATATATTACTTAAAACAAATAAATAATATATATTAATTAACCCCAATGATATACATAAAAAAAACTATACATATAAAACAAGAAATAAATAAATTTAGCATTAATGAATATTTACTTGGGTGTTCTGTTGGAAGTTGGAACTATAAGAATGAATTGTGCCAGTGTTGGGAGTGCAGAAGAGGAAATGGTTGAGGGGTTAATATAAGGGGAGGGAAGGGAGTGAAGTTTTTTGGGGGGATTAATTGGGGAAGTGGTGTAAGTCAACACATATCACTGGAACAAGAGCCCAAATCCAACTGGTGCCTTGCAACACACTAGAGGGATTTGCACCTTGTACATGTGGCATCCCACCATAGCAAAAACCACCCAATCTCAGTAATTTTTCTTTACTTATTATTTTGGTATATTGTTTTTTTTTTATTATTATTTTGGTAAAAAAATCCAACAACTAAAATACAAATATGAGGATACAGGAAAATCTCAAACATATAGCATATGATACAAGTGAAATATATTAACACATATTCATTAAAAAACAAATTTATGGGTTAATATGTGCAATTGGATACTCAGCATGTAAAAAAATGAACTCCAATTATATTTTAAAGTCAATATTATTCACTAATAAATTGGATCTCTGCAATTTGAGTATGAAGACTTAAACCGGGAAATAATAAGTTTATTCCAATTCATAACAGTTATAACTCATGAAACTTGTTATATGAATATCCATAATTAAGAAGTTATAAAAGATGGGTTTTGGGCACAGGTTAATGAATAAAAAAATAACATGTATTACTTTTCATTAAATTATCCTAATTACTTAAAGAAGAAAGTAATCAATGATATTTGAATTTCCAAGATATTAAATGGTTCCACTTTTCATTTAATAGGGTCTATTTTTATTTCTTAACCTGTTCCTGTAAATGTTAACAAAACCTTTAAGAGATATAGGTATGTGCATCAGTATCAGACAAGGCAATGATACATATACTTTCCCCATTTTATATATAAATACCTCATAGCACTAAAGATTCCAAATATTATACTCTTCAGGGGAAAGATTAATTGTTTCTGTACTGTCAATTTTACTGTAACAGAAACACACAAAAGAACTCCTGATGGCATTTAGAATTGAATCAAAAATTGTCTTAGATTGGATAACATCTAAAAACATATAGCTTCTTATTGTGTACCTGTATATATACTCCATTAAAAGAATTGGAGGAAGAAACACCCAAAGTTTAGTGATCAAACCTTGAAAAATTAGTGAAAACCAGAAGCACCCAAAGTTTATGCACAAATACAAGAGAATGACATGTCAACATACAAAAACAAAGAACTAAACAGGAGCATACTGTTTATCCACCATATCTGCATCTGGCATTGAGAAAAGTGGTTCTATATCCCAATTTCGTGTGCAGAGGGTACCATCAGCTGTTGCCTTAGTGATCATCTGAAAAGGAGGTTAAGGAGTTTGATAAGTCTATTAACCAAACCACCAAACAAAATCCTGCAAACAATTTATATGGTTGATTTCAATAAAGATCAACAAGCACAAGCTGACAGTGTATAAAATTAAAAGATTGTTATCCACAATAATGCAATCCATGATTCTAATAGGATAGTACATTAGCTAGTACTTACCCTGGCTGGCTGATGACCAGAATTATGAGCATAAAAATTTACCAACGGTTTTTCTCTGAATTCAATCTTCTTAAGAAAATAAAATAAAAATATATTCCATTTTTCAGTTTATATAATTTTCAAGCACAGTATTAGAAAATAATTATGCCTCTATTTGCTGGTAGAAATTAGAATGCTTTTCAGTAATATTCTAGCACACTTTGCCAAAACACTTAAGGCACCTGATTAATGGAGCAATGAAAATAATACAAACTGGGTTCTAGTGGGTAATCTGAATTTTAAGCAATTTGCATCTAAACAAAATTATAATAACAACCAAGGAAGTGGTAGCTGAGTTTCAGTGTACCACTTTTCTAAAGGTAAAATGAAAGTGGTAACTTCAGGCTTTGTTTCAAGATTCACAATTTCATATTGCAACTTACACCCAATATATATTATTGTTTTCTTCGATGTTATATCTCTCTTGAAAGTTGAAATCTTCATTAAGGATCAACACATAGAGGAAGAAGGGCAAGTGAAGAGAGAGAAATGAGGATAAGATTCAGCAGCTCTGTTGTTTGTGTGCATTTTTGGGTGCTGTGCTTTGGAGGGAAAATTAACAAATGTTAAGACATGGTAAAGAAATAGAAAGCTTTTTGTTTAATGGTGGCAACGTGCATGTCCTGCGACCCCAAAAAAGACGTTGTTTAGGGGCTTGGAGAAAAAAAATACACGGCATTTTGGGAATTTTCCTTCCCTATTGAAACATAAATTTTCCCGGCATTTTTTTCCCAAACCCCAAAATGATGTTGTTTTTGGATTGCAGGAAATAATTTTTATCTCCCGTGACAAGAAAAAAACTATAAGGGGGAAAAACTATCTAAGGCAATGGCAGAATGTTAAAAACTGATAACTAGTTAAAAAGCGTAAAATATTAATATATTTTCTTTTTCCAATATAAAAGTAAAACTCACCTCCTTCATGACAGCCTGACATGCTGCCATTTGCTTATCATCTTTACAGCGAGCCAAAGCCCTTTCAACATAGCCACGCAAAGACTTGGGAAACATACCAGGCTGTAAGCAAGAATAGTTTAATAATTATTAAAAGTGAATACATAAAGTCATCATCATTTGCAATACCATTGTAACAAACATGCATTGAATCAATTGCTGAAAAAGCAATATTGTTAATTCAAAATTAGGTTCTTACCTCTAAGTAACTCATGCTATTTCACTAAAGTCAAACCTTAGCATACAAAATTTCCAAAAGAAGGTTCTTTAATTACCGTTTTAGCAAGTGACAAGTTTTACAAACAAGACAATTGTTAGTAAGCATATTGAAATAAAAATTGGTCTTACAGATATGTTGAGGGATTGGGTAGCTTTGCTTCATTGATGTTTCTATTTGTTCTCCGTTGTTTGTTTTTCCTTTATAGGTTAAGGAGTAACCTTATGTTTCATCTTCTCTTCATCTTAATTAACTTTTTCTTTTATCAAGAAGTCTACCCCAACTTCAGAATATTCAAACACTTAGTTTCTATCAACTTTTAGTATGATGTTATGTTTCTGAATCTTTATTTTCCTTGAAGAGAGAAAAATGAAAAAAATAAATAAATAAATTCACATGATGATAATAACCTAGTATGCATATATGACGTAAAAAATCGGTTTTTGAATCCTCACCTTAAGTATAGAATTAGCAGCATCATTAGATGATACTTTCTCGATTGGCTTTGGTAGTGAAACAGCAATATAAGCAGGCTTTGGTGCTGTACTGGTTGTAGAGCTATCTTTTTCGGTTTTGGGCTGTCCAAATGTCAAATTTGAAGCAATTCGAGGATTTGTTGGAATCTGAAGTTTGCTTACCCGTTTTGTATCCAAAGATGGAGCACTATGTATGGGTGCCAGGTTCACCTGTTGAGGGGGAGGGGGAGGAGGAGGAGGAGGAAGGTACAAATTGGTTCCTTGAGAAGATGCAGTCTTCTGTTGATCCTGAAATTTATCATAAGAACATTTTAAATCCAAAGGACTTTGATAGTTTGGTTGAATAGGATTACTTTGGGGAATTTGAGAACTTTGAGCCCCATGTTTCCAGTAACCATCATGATCACCACTATTTACTGGTGGAGGCTGACCACCAAAAGAAACAAACATGAAGTTAATAAGTTAACTAAGAAAAAATAATTCAAAATAACTAACCAACCAAATGCAGAAATCTGGTGGCACCGAAGCCAAACAAGATAAGTTATCCAATATACTAAAATTTGAATAGAATTGGAATAAAAAAACCTAACAGTAAGGATTAATTTAATAATGCATATATCAGAATATAAAGACAAAAACCATAACCAAAGCAACTCGACATGATTTATCTGTCCTTTCAAGTCAATGATTCTAAGTAGTATTGGTTTTTCAACACCTTCTGTGTGAAAGTAATCATCAAACCTGAAAAGAAGGCATTGCAGAAGAGCTGGACTCTTGCCTCCAAACTGGTGGATATGATTGTGGAGGCTGGTTATTTGGAGTTGCATAACCGCTAGTAGCTATAGGAATAGGACAACTCAAAGTAGATGAATTTGTGACAGATATGTTCTCTGTCCCTGGAGCGCAGCTGACTTCTGTTTGGTTGTAATAGTCCGCCCACTGCTTGTATTGTTGCTGATACTGCACTGAAGTAGCTGCAGCACCAGAACTATAAGAACTACTGGAATCAGGGGTGTAGTTTGTATATGGATGAGAAGTATAACTTGGATAACTTCCACTGTTCCACATCGTCGCTTGATTGCCGTACCCGCTGCTGTTTTGGTAACCTCCAGTTGTCTGATAATCAGCAGGATTGTAATAAGTGCTTGAATAACTTGCAGATCCAGCATAAGACCCAGTATTCTGAATGGAGGAAATAGGCTGATAAGGAGCACCTGTGTTTTGATATGCTCCTACAGGCTGTGAATAGGTATGATTAGGTTGCTGATAGCTGTTATAGTAGCCAGAGTATCCCATGCTGCCATAACCATATGGATTAGAAGAACTTGGGTATGATGTGTATGCATTGTAATCTTGCGGTACATTAGCTGTTCCCAAATTTGATGAATTACCAGCAACTGATGATACATTTTGACCATCTTGAATACTTCGCCCAGGTGGTTGTGAATGCTGATCATACTGGTAGGATGGATTAGAATAAATTCCATTCCCTGCGGAGCTATGAACAGTCCATGATACAGCTTCAGATCCAGTTGTAGTGGGAGCATATGCAGATGGCTGGTATTGGCTAGCATCAACATGCCGATTCTACAAAACAAAGAGATGTGGGTTATGCATTTAAAGCATGGTAAAATGAAGAGGAAAAAAATAAAGAAAAATAAGCAATCAAAGTATACACAACTGAACCACATGTGCATTGAGTAATACAAAGATGAGATAGCATTTAGGTCCAAATATAAACATTGTCCAAAACAGAAAAATGCGGGCATGGAAACAAAATTTACATCTATAGTCTATAATAGTACAGAAAAGGGATTCGCCCTCGGTATGCATTTTTATTCTTTTTCTAAAAGATAAGTGTTTTATGGAACAGGCACAAAATTCTCTCAAGAAAATGCTTGAGCAGTTGAAAATATCAAGATATGAAATTGTAGCTCTCAGTAATATATGGATCACAATTTTTACTATAAAAAAGCAAGGTGTACATGAATATTGATTAATTAACATTAGTACATTACATTTTCAAACTCATATTATAAAGAACAACACTGCTTTATTCACAAACTTCACGATGAATTAAAGCAAGCTTACTATTTATAACTAGACAGAGAAACATGCTTCCAAGATTACCTCGAATATATGGGACTCCGCGTGAGCTAAGGTCTCAGTGTTACTTCCTTCGTTCGCCATCTCTCAAACACCCTAATTGACCAAGAAAAACAAAAACACATAATTTATTTCACACAATTCCAATAAAAACCCTAATTAGTTGATAACAAATCGTAACAGTACAAACCTTCGAAAAGCTCAGACAAGGAATGGAGAAATCAGGGGATCAGAAACGAATCGGAGCCAGAAAAACCAAATTTGGAAGAAGAAGAAGAAGAAGAAAAATCTAGGAAAACAAAGAGAAAAAAAAAAAAAAACACCAAATAGCAAGATATTTATGAATTATTAACAGGGGAAGAGGGAGTAAAAATACAAATTGAAGAAGTGAGAAAGGCGACGACTTTGCAATAAAAAGTTAAAAGGGTTATTGACGAAAACGCCGGAATACAACACACGAGATTGGGAAAAGAAATTTTAAGTTTGGGTTTTTAGAAAAAAGGGAGAAAGAAATAAAAGGAAGGGAAGGGGTATAGGTGGGGTCCTCACCAAGATAATCTTGGGGATTTTCGCTAATTGAATATTAACCAACCATAGTTTTAAAGCGTATTACTTAAATTAAATGAAGCCAAATACGTTTTTCTTGCTTAAGTCGGTTCACATATTAACTGCTCTCGATAAAATAGAGTAAGTCCACCAAAGGATAAAGCTCAAACACAATAAACCCGAAAAAGGTTAAGGGTCCAAGTAACGCACGATATCCCTATCGCGCATAAGAAATTAGAGGCGCGATGGTTTTATCGTGCTCAAATCGTCTTTAACATAACTTCATAGTGAAGGAAGTGATCAAATAGGTAAAAGGTCACCGTGCTATAGAACCAATAAACAAGAGACAGCACCAGTTTGTCACTACTCTATCAAGATAGCATGATATAATGGGATAGGGCCAGAGCAACACCAGCTAAACCTGCAGCCTATCTACAGCCAATCAGAAGATACACCGCCTATCAAAGGCGGTATCTGATTCACTATATAAGCAAGGGGTACAAATCCACGTATGACGATATAATTCAGTAAGAATATCACCTAAGCCTGACTTTGATACTGACTTGAGCGTCGAAGTGTCATTGCAAGTACCCCAAGTCTGATCATCGTGCCAAAGGAGAATCATACATGTTCTGTCTGAAAGACAGAGATGTCCAACCGGTGGCTGGTATATTTAATGTAGGATCTAGGTGTCCTCTCTCAAGTATCTATGAATGAGATACCCTTGAGGGTAGGCTGATCACTGTGCACAATAATAATCGACATAGTCAAGGCGTGGGTGTGTGCACAGTGACAAGCTAAGAGAGAGGGTTTAGAGAGTGTGTGTCCTGAAGGAGTGTAATTCTGGGCCTCTTAAGAATATTGGGGGCCCAAGTCCAACTGCTTAGCTGTCTGGATAAGATTGTCATTAATAGGAGATTCACTTCCTTTTGTGCTGTCCTTTATTGGTCCTTCTAAAATACGGGCCTTCGTCAGGTCCATAACAGTTGCCCCTCAGCCCGGTAGTTTGGTTGTCCAAGCTGCCGGGATGTAATAGCAGTGATCTCTTCATTTTATTTCGCAAGTCTGTTTTCTTTGTCAAAAGTTAGATGTGTTGCTTTCATAGCAATAATTTTGATTTCTTCGAAAGAATTTGAGAATCTAAGGGCGTCCTTCTATCTTCTAAGATTATTTACCTCGACTAGAACTCACGTTCTTGCTATTTTTGCAAGACGGGTTCAAATACCTCGACGTTTTGGCCGGGCTAGAACTCGCGATTCTGCCCTTGGGCAAGACGGGTTCAAATACCTCGAAGTTTTGGCCGGGCTAGAACTCGCCATCCTGCCCTTGGGCAAGACGGGTTCAAATACCTCGAAGTTTTGGCCGGGCTAGAACTCGCCATCCTGCCCTTGGGCAAGACGGGTTCAAATACCTCGAAGTTTTGGCCGGGCTAGAACTCGCCATCCTGCCCTTAGGCAAGACGGGTTCAAATACCTCGACTTGTTTTTCAAGGCTAGAACTCTCAATCCCGCCCTGTGGGCAAGACGGGTTCAAATACCCTGAACAATCTACGGGGCTAGAACGCTCAATCTCGCCCTTTGGGCAAGACGGGTTCAAATGCCCCTGCATTGTTGCGAGGCTAGAACTCTCAATCTCGCCCTGTGGGCGAGACGGGTTCAAATACCTCGTGTTTGTTTCCGTGGCTAGAACACTCAATCCTACCCTTTGGGTAGGACGGGTTCAAATCCAACAGATTTCCTTACGGGGCTAGAACACTATCCTGCCCTTTGGGCTGGACGGGTTCAAATACCTCGTGTCTGTTACCGCGGCTAGAACACTCAATCCTACCCTTTGGGTAGGACGGGTTCAATTCCGCTGGATTGCCTTACGGGGCTAGAACACTCAATCCTGCCCTTTGGGCTGGACAGGTTCAAATACCCCGGATTTATGCCTGGCTAGAACTCTCAATCTTGCTCGTTTTGGCAAGACGGGTTCAACTACCTCGGCTTTGTGCCTGGCTAGAACTCGCAATCCTGCCCTTGGGCAAGACGAGTTCAAATACCTCGACGTTTCTTAATATTTAACTCGACTTCTTTGCCAGAGTTTCATTTACCCCGGATTTGTATCCTGGGTCTTTATCGCGGATTGGGGTGTGATCCTTTTTCTAGGACCACGTCTCTCCCAACCCGTCTTATTCTTAATAATAAACCATTTATATTCCGGTGGGCCGATCTTCATTTTGACTCTCTCTTCACAACCTACAAAAGTGAAATGTAAACATTTTGATTTCAAGTTTAGGCCGGCAGTATTCGCCTTTTTTCTCGAGCCCGACTTCTCTTGCATCGGCTCTTCTTTCAGCTTGGCTTCTTTTGCCCAAGTCTGTATTCATCCAGGTGGATTTTCTTCCTTATTTGAATGGATCTGGGTCTCCTTCCTTTTTAGAAGGGATCTCCACACCACCAGTTTAATTATTCCTTACATCACAGTATAAAGAAGATAATTAGCAATAATTTTGGTTCAATCATAAATCATTAATTATCCCGTTGCAATCAGCAATCAATGATAATTCAATCAGCAAATTATATTTGACCATATTTTATGTGAGCATCCATCATAAAGCTCCATGCTCCCCCATTTTCTTGATCTTCATTTATACTCCGGGAACATAAAGAACGTGGCCTCATGGTGAAACCTGATGCTCTTTTTTTTTCATAATAATATTTAAATTATCTGCCGGCCTGCTTTTTCCGACATATAAGACTAAACACATGCATAACAATGTTGACCAACTTTCAAAATTATACATTTGCATGTCAATGCTTATGGAAATTTCACATCATATAAGAATTTGGTCCAGCAAGAAGTCATATAAAATCATGATAATAATTTCCAGGATATAAAAGTAAGGAAAAGAATATTTCCCTGTTATTTTTGTAACCATCCTGCTTGCAATAGGGGACGATTCCTGCAGTGGAGTAAGATAAACCAGCTCGGGTCTTTTTAATTTAAGCTCATTGGCATGGTTTCAGCATGTTATTTTTGCCTATTGAAATCTGATCCCAGCTCTGGTAAGGACTGGACCGAGATGCTTATTGTTGGATATTGGCCGAGATGCTTATTGGAGCCGGTTTTCAATCCAACTCCTCTGTATTCTTTCCAGTGATACCGAGATGGAACGTCAAAGCAAATTCCATAATTGACATTCAAATAATACTTAAGCTTCATGAGTTCCACACGCAGAACGACGGAGTCCTCCCAAATTGAGCATGCTCGTTCTACTCACGAAGAGCTTGCTTTAGTTTTTCAATAATAATGTATCAGTTGTCGTCGCCACCGAGCTCCGAGACCATGTAACCGAGATCATGTAAGTGGGAGCTGAGATCATGTCTCCCGTTGCTTTCGTGGATTTTGTGAGACATGCCTTAGATATTTCTTTTGCAATAGAAACCCGGCCAGTGTGCCAAGTTGATCAATTTTGGTTAACACCGGCTTCCTTCGGCTTCCTCCATTTTTTTTTATGGATTCCAACGAGTCAGTATGTGAGAAGTTCATGTGCATTCATGGCCAAATGGACTTGAGACAGAGAGTCTCCTAGTACTGGCTGCACTTGGCAAAAATTATAAGATTAAATAAACATATCATTGTAAATAACAGATCAAGTTATGTAGGATATCTCCCGTAAACATAGGTCATTTGCAGCCGTTGCATAGAGGTTTCAACGGAAATCAATGTCCGACTTTGGCATGCAGTCCTCTTATCTGAGTTGATACTTTCACGGCTAATCTTTCTGGTGTATGAGATGTATCGCAATCCATGTATAATCTTATCTGAGTTGATACTGTTATGGACCTTTCGCTAGCCGAATTGCCCCTTCGGACATTTACCACACTTGGAAGTGTGATTCTATTCTCCGTGTTGATATGACATTGCCGTATTTGGGGGCTGCTGCATTTCGCAATATATTGAGCTAATATACAAATTACTTGCAAACACAAGCATAGGTCTATCCTTATTGGATTTCTTATAACAGCAAGAAAATGCAGAAGTTATATATTGCCTACATCAAGAAAATGAATCTTATTCCAACACCTTAGTGAGTGGTGCTAGTATATTTAACCAAACTTATTGCAAGTCACATTGGTTTTGTTTTCCTTACAAAAAGCATCGAACAAACACTTTGCAAGAAATGCATGTAGATTATGATGTCACGATATATTCTTCCATATGGACCCATATGCATATGGCAATTGAAAAGTTATAAAGTAATAACTATGAAATGCTTTTATCATGTAGTAACTACAAGAAAAAAGTTTATTTGTGACAAAAATTTTCATCACAAATGACAATTTTCGACACAAATAATCAAATTTCGTCACAAATAAATTTGCGACTCAGAAATTTGTGACGAAATTTCATATGTAGTGACGAAATTTGCGACACTAGTAAGATTTTTTCTTGTATAATTCAAAATTAACATCGGATGACTTATCTCTTTATTTGAGTTATGTTGCCATAACTAATGGGTTGATCTGCAAGTCTTCCCTTTTCGGTGAGCTAATGGGCCCCACACCAACCATCCAAGTTCAATGTCCTCCATAGCAAACTTGATGTACTTAACAACATGATTTCCGAGTTCAGGGACATTTTGGAACCCCCAGCTTCTTCCGGATTTGATAGCAACTAGATTAAAGTCGTCTATCATAATGGTTGGTCTTGATGATCTTGAACATTGCATCACCAGAAATGGCAAGATTTGCCGGAATGGTGCGGGATGCCAACGATGTGGCTATTTTATATGTTGGAGCCGACATTTGTTGCCCTTGCTTTATTTTCTGATTCAGTTGTGCCATCTTCTGAGTATTATGCAGTTGGAGCAAATTCCACGTAACCTTCTTTTTAGGTTTCAGAGGCTCTAACTTTAAATTTTCCCAAACATAGTTGCTGC